TTTATTGAGTTCCATCTTGCTAGCTTCACTTATACCACATTTGGTATTACGGGACGTGAATGTATGACGAAGGTATGATAGTGGTGCAAACATGATAAACATGAAATGTGTGTCATGTTACAACATAGCTACATGCTACGCTCATGATGCGCTCGCGGCCGTTTCGCTAGCTTCACATGTACCAAACGCAGCATTTCGCGACGAGAACGGACGATCGACATAAGCAAATGACACGTCGAAACATAATGATCACGACATGCGAGTCATGTAACAACATGACTACATGCCACAATCATGAGGCGCTCGCGGCCGTTTCTCTAGCTTCACATATGCCAAATTGGGTATTACGTGACACCAATGAATGACGAAGGTATGTGACTGGTGCAAACATAACAATCATGAGATGCGTGTTGTATGAGAACATGACTACATGCCACAGTCAAGGCGCCAATACATTTCGACATGACGTGGTGCGCGTGCTCACCGGTGTTCATTTCGTCACGTCAAGCCCGCGTTGCCACGCCAGGCGCCGGTCCTGCCATATACTCGCAGGCTTGCGCCGCGCTGCGTTGCTTAGACGCATAAGCGTTTCGGCGCATCCGGCGTCCCTCCGTCACGAAAAGAAGGAGACGCACTGTTGCCTATGTAACGCTTCGGCATAGAGTAATGTTACTCTATAGCATGGAGGAAGGAAAGGTAGGAGAGGCCCTGACGTCACTCGTTGTGAAGCCGCAGTGAAACCGGAAGTCGGCCTTATAAGGTCCGTTCGATTCGCCTGCACCACGTGCAGGCGAATACCTCACCATTCGTTTCAGCAGTGTAGCATTGACGATCGCTGGACCCTGCCATTCGTTTCGAAAGGTGCAGAAGGGGTGCAGCACCGGTTCACAATTTTCCTGCACCTCCTTCGCTGACGGTGCCGGCTTGGTGCAGGCGCGCGTGCAACTAAGTAGACGACGCAGCACTTAGACGTAGGTGGCTTAGGCGCCGTACCAGCCTCTACAAATGCGGTGTGTTTTACCAAGATGTTTGCGCCTCATAAACTGTCCGCATGTGCGTTTCGCCATAGGTCGGTGTTTGCTGAATGGTGTAAATTAACCGAAAAGAAATAAGGCCAACACCTTGTCGGCACATCGTCATTTGTTTCGGGTGTCGTTCTGTGCCTGCACCGCTGAACTCACGCTGCACGATTTCTGAACTTCGCGTGCACAGCCGTGAACCGGTTCCGACCGGTTCAGGTGAATCGAACGGACCTATAGACTGGGCCAACTCTCCTTTCTTGTTTTCATCCGACTGTGAAGCAGAAGGCGCTACTCTCTCTCCTGCTCGGAAAGTACGTGGGCTGTGCAGCGCGCGTGTCGTGACGATCCGAAGCTAATGGAACGGGGCTCAACACTCTGGGCCAGCGCGACACCTTCGTCGAAATCATTTCGTCCGAGTATTAACAGCGAGTAACGGCTCGCCGCCAAAGAAGCAAGTACCAAAGAACGTGCGCTAGATGCACTGACAACGGCGAGTGTTTTCACGTCATTAATTCAGCAACTGTACAGGCAACACGATAGGTCGTGCGCCTTATTCTACGGCTGCATTCCGACACGAGGCCGACGCAGCACCCAGCCACTGTGCCTGTGTTCTACGTTAAACTCACCGGCCTCAGCATTCTCTGACCGTGGTGACTTTGAGCAAGGTGCAAGTGACACTTGAACGCGGTTGCTCTAACGTTGAGATTACAATGCTGGGGGCGAGTATAACAAGCGGAACAGAAAAGGTCTTTTATTACGCACATGCAAGTTGTTACTGTACACATACCGAACACGAAACTACGTATGTGCACACGGTCCTCATTGCGTCTTGGTGGGCTCAACAGCGTCGTCCGTTGTCACAAGCAGGAGCACTGGCCAACCGTCACTGACCTGCAAGGCTTTCGTTGCCGTTCCGCTTCGTCATGGTGCCCAACGCAATTTGCTGAACACTTCAAATGCTTCATCCGCGTCATCCGCCACACGGATATGAGCTCGTTCTACACACTGTTCAGGCCCCGTGGTGGGCGAAAGGTTTTGTAAACGTTGCTAAGAGTACAGTAACTGCCAGGAGAACACTGCGTAACAAATAACGCGGCGCAAAGCACGGATATTGTCCGCCACGGCTCAGCACGAGAGCTGCGGAGGCACACATGCCGCCGCCAGCCACGGCTGCTCACTGCCGGACCAGCTACACTGCACAACACGTAACCATAGCAACGCCGCCGTTGTGCCCAGTGAATATGGCCGCCATGATGTCATTTCCTCCACACTTTTCACGTAGCACAGCTGCTGGGCATTCTCTCTCTTATCTTTCTTTCCTCCATGCTCTATAGCATCAGCGCGGAATGCAGCATATGGTGGCCACCATAGCAGCATGTCGCATTTCTCGCCGGTTGCCGTCGGGCCGCGCCGACGGACGCTGGTCGCACCTGGCGTCAGACTATTCAATGAGTGCTCGCGTTTTGCTAACGTAGCATCGTTGTGCCCAGCGTGCGCACGCGTGACCGCTACTTTGGAGTATATTGGGCCCTTCATGATGCACTCGCGGCTGTTTTGCTAGCTCCACATATACGAAATTAGGTGTTACGTGACGTCAATGGATGACGAAATATATGACTGTTGCAAACATGATAATCCTGACACGCGTGTCATGTAAGAACATGACAACATACCATGCTCATAGCATGCTCACGGCCGTTTCGCTAGCTCAACATTTACTAAATTTACTAAATACGTGAATAGATGACGAATTAAAACAACACATCCAAACATGATAATCATGACACGGAAGCCATGTACAGCATTATTAACCTACACCTCGTAACGTTGTGCTGATTTTAATGCGACATATCAACATTTCTCATTCATGTTTCGCATATCATCGATTCCCTTTGTACGTGGGATCTGCCTTTTTCTTTTTGCATGATGACTGTAGAGACATTTTAAATGCGAAGCATTTCTGAGCGAACTTCAGCGACCTTGAGCGTATCTATCGATCTAGTCGCCTACGATTTTTAACTTTCATGCCTGTTTCGGTAATGGTTTCAATACCAAATTTGGTATGGTATAACATGAGTGTATGACGAGCATAATTGTCAAGTCATAACTTGACTCTCAACTTGACTCTCATAATTGTCAAGTCATAACTTGACTCATAACTTGACTCTCATGATATGTATGTCATGAATGTCATGATTTACATTTCATGGTCTTGCTGCTCTTGCGGTGGTTTCGTTCACATTACATGTTGCAAAATTGGCATGGTATGACATGACTGCATGGCGAACACAAGTGACAGACCTACGTGGAAATCATGACATGACCTGGCGCGCGTGCACGCTGGCACTCGTTTTGTCGCGTCATGCGGGTGATGCCACGACAGGTGCCAATCTGCCTGGCATGTACTCACAGGCGCACACGGCGCTGCGTTGCTTTGACGCATGCCCGTTTGAGCACGCGCGGCGTCCTTCAGTGCAGACATGGTGCTGTCTAGGTCTAAGCAGACACGGTGCTGTCTAGGTAAAGTCGTCGGCGCGAAATGCGGCATGTCGCATTTCGCGACGGTTGCCGCTGGTATAGCGCCTACAATAATCTAGGCACTGTACGGTCGGGGCTATTTCTCAAACTGCTATTTTTCAAACTGCTTGTCCAAAGCTTGAGTTGGTGCAGCTTTTAGTAATGCGCTCAAGGTACTGTTTCCCATCTTGGGTGATGTGTCGAAGATGAATGCACAAGACTCCTTGCCTACCAAGGACTTCCATAGGTAGGCATCCATTGCTTCTGCTACCATTCCAATGTATAGCGATCCTTTCGGTACACCAAGGCACATTCGTAGGGAGTTGAAGCACCACATCAAGTTTCGTTTTGCTGGTCAGCGATACTCGCTGCAGTAACTGCAGGCTGTAGCACAAGATACAATCAATGTAAGCTTTGTGTAAATGTATCGAGTGGCAGTCATTCATTACCTTATCATGCTCAAATGTAGCACAATACTTGTGAAACTGCAAAAATTCGTGCACAGAGTTCGTTCACTTGTGACCAAGTCGAACGTTTGACAGCGATTGCACCAAAAGACATTTGGCATCGCACATAAGGAAAAGGGCATTCACCAACCATTAATGGGTACTTTTTCTAGCTCTTTCAAGAAAAAGCCATGAGGACACTCTTTTTTGGAGGTAGGTGCAGACCTCTGTGAGTCAAACTAAAGAAAGTGTTTGCCAGCCCTTTCTGTAAGCGAGTGACATAGTTAGGTTATACACTCCATATGCAGATACCATCTCCATACATTCTGATGTGGATACCACACATCGAAGACAAATAAAAATACATTTTTCCTTTTTTTTCAATGTCGGCCTGGTGCCTTAATGTCTATTTCGGTTAAATTTGTGTTAACACGCTCAAGCCTCAATATGACGAATTCTAATATAACAAATTATCGAATATAATACAGTATATGACCAATAGCTTAGCAACAGTGTGACAAATAATCATGTTTAACAAATTTTTAGATATAACAAAGCACTTTGGTCACTTGGCTATATATCGTCACTTGGTTATATAACAAGGTTTAAGTGTCAAGAAAAAAAAACGTGGACTCAGAGCCCAGTTCTCTGCCCTTTACGGAAGAATTTCCTACTCATTTTTCCCACTATTTATTTGGCCTTTTGTATCTAGTCTTCTGCCACCAATACTACAGCAGTTCCTTATTTCTTTTGCAAGCGTGGTCAGCTTTCTATTGTTGCCATTAAAACCCATTGCTTCCTGTAGGCCCGTCCACAACTGTGCATGAGGGTGTATATCTCAGCATTCAATGAGAACATTCTAAGCCATTTTATATTCCCCACAGCATGTGCATTGTCCTTCTTTACTAAATCTCGCTTTATACCTACATGTTCAAAGGCAACCCAATCTCGCTTTAAACAGCTCATTCAAAAGTGTGTCGTCGGTGAGGAGGGAATCGCAACACAAGCCAGAACACATGATCCATATGATCCACGTTTATGTAGCAAGATTTTCTAACAAAACAAACCTTATACGGCTATTTCTTGCATTCATGATGCATATGTTTTTGAACACAGTGCACTAGCAGACTATGCTGAACTAGAACATACACACATGTCCCTGTGACAATGTACAAGAATTGAAAATAGCCTCTCTGGTCACCGGCATATATTGCTTCGCAGAAAGAGCAGGTGAGCCCAAAACATTTCACTGCTCAGTCGCACATGTCAAGAGTTGAATTACAAGAAAGCACAAAACTACAGTGCAGCACAAAACACAATATTGTCAAAGCATGCAGCACAAATATTGCTCAAAAAAACATATCGTATCGAAGTTTTCTTCAAGTGATTTTGGTGTTTACAGACAACGTAGAATGCCCAGCTCCAAGAATAATGCATGCAATGGCCAGCACCAAGAATTGACGCTGGTGAAATACTGTGCAGTCTGACAAAAGATTAGGCATACCAGTTTCAGAAATGTGCAGTTTTACCAAGTTGAAACGCTCTTCAGTGATTGAGCACTAAAAAGAAAAAAAAAATTGTAGAAAGCCTAGTGAAGTAGGCTGATATGCTCTGAACTAAATTCAGCATTCTCTAGAACAAAATAATTGTAAATTAGGCACTTTTGCTGCTGTTTCTCGCTAGGAGACACTCAAAACTACTACCATATGACAAAGCCTTACTGCTACTTAAAAACATACAAAACAGTTTAATGACATCACTTAGCAGATACCATTTTTCATTGCTCCAAGAGATGAGTTGAGTGAGTAGAGTTGGAGCGTTCATGCGCAATCACTTCAATACTTTGATGTGTTTGTCTCTCTATAATTCTGTGCTGTGTGACTATATATGAACCTCATCAAGCACCACAAAAATGAAGCCAGCGGCGTTATACTACGAATAAATAAATAGACACAAAGAACTTTTAATCAAGTGCTAAAGGGAAATATCTTTGGAAAATACTCGGACCTGCTTCTTTTTATTAGCAAAGTCACAACTTGAAACTTCCGTTCAGATTTCTAGAGGACATTACCCTAATAGATAAAACTGTAACATAACTTACATGATCACTATTATGTGGAGAAATGCAGGTATCACAATCAAATTTTTTTCTTTCTTTTCTTTTCCTTCCCTCCTCCTCCTCCTTGGGCCTTTCAGTCCTTAATCCTCATCCCATATACATACAAGGCATATACATACAAGGCACTATGTAGGTGCCTTGTACGTATATGCGGAGAGAATTATCTGTTTTTCATTAAAGAGCTTTCTCTCTCTCTCTCTGGCATGATGTATAATCACCAGCAAACTTTTCGTCTCTTACTAGTATAAAGTTATTAATAACCATAATACGTACACACAAGAATCAGTATCTCTTTCACCGTCATCTTTGTTGTGACGAGAGGCCAGATCTTGAAACTGCTAGCAGTATGGAAGCCATTTCAAGCTGTAATGCCACATAAAACACACAAGACCACACTATTTTGTATTCTGTGATATGCAACACAGCAAAGTGAACATTCTAAACCAAGAGCCACAAATGAGCTGCGGCTTAACACTTGGTGCGCACATAACGACAATTCGATACACCTAGTCTGGTGTCCAGATATATAGTATAAAAGTTCTCCATAAAAACAATAACCGTCAGTACAAAGGTGCCCCCATGGATGAAGTTGGTCTAGGCTTGATGATGCGCCACGCTGAATGAGTTCAAAACATTACGAGCTGGTCATGTAGGGATACTTAATGTCGGTCAGTGGAACCTTGGTTTCCTTGATGGTTTGCGCCGAGCTGAACCTAAGCAAGTAGTGAGGACCCCCAGCCTTGTCATTGGTGCCTGCAGAAAACACAAAAATAAAAGTATTACAGTAGTTGTTGCCTGTTGCATGACACAACTTTTCTACATGAGCATGGGAGAAGCAAGAAAAGGAGCTGTTCCCACTCCCCCTAATCATATGACGGTGCAAAGTATGTTTTCACACATTTACCCAGCCAGACCATTAGAAACATTGTTTAAAGGAGCCTTGCAACACTTCTTAAGTAGCCATGGAATGACTTAACTAAAGGGGCTCACTGTCTCAGAAATCAATAGCTGCAAAAATTTTTGGAATCCATCATGCGAGTGCAGTTGCAGAAATAAGTTGCACGCTGTAACTGATATCTCTCTTCTCTCGTCCTGGCGAAGGCACTGGAAGCTAAGTAGAAAGGGATGATGGCACAGGGGAAGAAAGGTACGACACGTGTGCCTCACGACTTTGGGCACTTTTTTTTTTATCGTAAAATGCGCGACTGCATGATCGCGCACATGCGTGAGAGAACACGTAGCGGCTCCCCGCAGTGTGCTGTAGGAACTACAGAGCCCGCCATGCTCAAATGAGCCAATGGCGTGAAACTTGAATAAATGACACAGTGATTTTGAGCTTACAGCATCGTTTGTCTATAGCAAAGGAAGCCACTTTTGGCTGACTTTGACAACTTATTATGAATTCCAGGCCGTGTGCTACCAAGCAATGTTTGGCTCGCATGTTCTTGGGAGCCTACCAAATGTACTACCGAATGGCAGCATTTTCTGGTGCAGGGCTCTTTTAAGAGCAGGTCTATACGACTATGCAAGTTTTTGACGTAATAACAGTCGAGGGCACCAAACGTTGCATTCAAAGGATATTTTGAAAGCTACGGAACAAAGTCAGGCTGCATCAGGAAGCATGTCATCGCTTCATTTTTGTTCTGGCATGCATTGTGAAGCACGTTTTCCTTTGGTGTGAGCCAATAAAACAAGGGGCGGCGTGCTGAGGCGATACACTCAGCTACCCCGAATGGGCAACCCTACACAAGTTCACGAGCACGCTCGGAGGAGGTGAAAAAATTTTAAATGAAAACCAGAAGGTGTGTGCACAGTGGGCTTTTTACAGAACCTCAAGAGACAACCAAAACGTGCTTCCTTCGGTAATGAAAAAAGAAACCTGAAAGGTAAAGTACTTTTCTTTAGCATGGCCAGCATTTTACTGCATAACAGGGAGCTGTAATTTATGTGGAGACACATCATGAGAGTTATTGTTGGATATGTTCTGCACCATTCTTTGCACTGCCTACACTGCACTGCCTACACTGCACTGCCTGTTTTGCACTGCCTACATGTTTTTCGTGAGAAATTTATACACAGTGCTTGTGCTGGTGCTTGCGTGTTTTGAAAGTCATCTAAGCGTGCCTAGTTCTTTCACATCTCAAACTGTTGGTGCGAATAGAATAGCACGCAGTGATCGCATTTTGGTGGATGACTGTTCTCATCTCCATAATCCTACACATTCGTGAGACTGTAGCCAAATGAGGAAAAAGATTAGGAGGTGGACCAAAGGCCATTTACTAGGAGATGAGCGAAACATGCTTTCATACGTGCAAAGTGTTCAGCTGTCTACGAGTCACACTGGTCTAGCAGCAGGCGCATAGCCAGAAATTTTTGTTCGGGGATGGGGGAGGGCCTTTTTTTCATTTTGGAAGAGGCACCCTCGTGAAATGGTCATGCTCATTTTTCCCTCTATATGCTATGGCGGAAAAAAATTGGCGGGGGAGGGGGGGCGTGCCAGGTGGTCGCACGGGCCCGGTGTACCACTTCCTGGCTACGTCCCTGTCTGGCAGTATGCCCAACATGCCAAAGCAGTAGACGAGGAAGTTCATGACTTGGTGTTTTGTACACTTGAAGATGCTTTCAGTGGTACAAAACTTGCGGCTGTCTGAAAGCCACGTTGGTCTGGAAGAATGCCCAAGATGCCAAAAGAGTAGACCAAGAAGGTCATGACTCGGAGTCTTTCATAGTTCTTCATTCGTACCAGTTGCGACATTGCATTCCGAAACCTGGACATGCCCCTGGCCAATTGTGCTGAGGCCTGTAGATTGTCGGACCATCTGTGGGGGGGGGGGGGGAGGGGGGGCAGCGTACAAAACACCAAGAGGCACACGTAGGAAGTGCCGCCTCATTGTGAACTTCTCTCAAGCTGCTCAACGCCTCACGCAGTGCTGGCATCATCACCAGCGTTTGTAAGTTACAGTCAGCAGACCCCAAGATAATGGCCAATGGCGTGTCCGGATATCGATACATGGATCCTGTGGGGAGTTTTGCAACTCTGCTCTGAATGACACATCCAGTAATAAGTTCATAGAAGTGAAAGTATTGCAAAGATGTCCACCTCAAAATGTCACCCCAGCTGCCATAGCAAACACTCTTGTTAATTCAGAAGTTGCTCAGGCAATGACAAGAACCTGATGATACTGCGAGCGCTCAAAAAAATGCCTTCTGTTGAGTGGGCATGACAAAATGCAATACAGTGAAACCTCGTTAAACCGTAGTTGGCCGGAGCTCGGAAAAAGTACGTCCTAAACGGTAGTACTGCTTAACCGAAATAGCGTCAGGTCGCTCACTTACCTGTCAAAAAAAGAAACCTTCAGGGAGTGCGATGAAAGAACAAAAAACGTGCAGTAATTTATTAACTTCGGTTGACAAAGTCTGTAATCTTCACTTGACGACGCGGCGGCGCCTTAAACTCACTTATGCTGTGAGCCAGCTTTTCCGCCAGCCCCCTCTTCTCGGCAGATACCCGCATGACACTGACGCAATTCGCAGCTTCGGCCACTGTCGGACCTGGATCACTCGTGTTGACGCTTTCCATGTCGCCCTCATCACTATCATTTGGCGACACTTCGACAACCGAGGCAACAATGGCTTCGTTGGACATGTCCGGAGATGTCTGCACATCGCTGTCTGCGTCTCTGAAGTCGGGGAAAGAAATGTCTTCCCTAACGCCCTGCCGCTCCAGCACTTCAGCTAGCAGAGTTTTGCAAGCTTCTTCTACGATGTCCTAAGTCTGGTCGATGGTGTCACTGGCGTCATCTGCGTCGCCCGCACACACACTGAAACCAGCACGCTTGAAGCAATTTTGAACTGTCGTTGCATCAACCTGCCGCCACGAGTATTTGAGCAGGTGAATTGTGCCAATCAGTCGATGGAGAATAATTTGCCACATTCAATGGCGAGAAGAAATCTGCGCAGCAGATTCTTCTTGTAGAGTTGTTTTACAGCTCGAATGATGTTTTGGTCCAAGGGCTGGGCAATCGCTGTTGTGTTTGGTGGCAGAAACGCCAACTTCACAGCCGTCAGGTTGTCCAGGGCGGCGTGCGCCGAAGCGTAGCCTAAAATAATAACAACTCTTCTGTTCTTAGCCGCAAAACGACAATCGACGAGGCACACGTACTCCTCAAAGAGTTTTGCCGTGATCGAAGCTTTGGTGTTGCTGCGATAGATGACCCCTGATGGCAACCGGGAGCCTTTGAAACATCTAGGCTTCGCCGACTTTCCAATCACGAGGAGCGGAGTTTTGTCGGTTCCAGTCATGTTTACGCAAAACGCCACTGATATTCTCTTTTGCATGCTTGCTGCCGGTGCAGGTCTCCCCTTTGAACGCGAGCGTTTTGTCTGATCCATATTAAAGATGTCATCAGGTGCGTAGTCTTCCAAGATGTTCTTCAGCTGACCACTTTGCCACTGCTCCGCGCCATCCACGTCAGCAGCAGCACCTTCTCCCGAAACAGTCCTCGTGGTAATGCCGTGCCTCGCTTTAAATCTGGCCAGCCAGCCATTGCTGCACACGACGTTGTCATGGTTGAGTGGTTGAGCTGCGAGGCAAAAACCAGGGCCTTCTCCACGAGCAGGGGTCCGCTGATAGGCAGATTTTTTGACCGTGCAGCTTTTAGCCACTTCACCAGCGCCTCCTCTACATCCGAAAATGCCGAACCGCGTAGACGGCACCTTTTCACAGTTGCAGCAGCAATGCCGAGCAACTTCTCTCTGGAATTCCAAATTCCACACACCGTGGTTAACGGCAGATCCTTTTCACGTGCCTTTTCCCGTGCCAGTGCCGTTTTTTTCGTGCCACTTTCAATAGCACGAATTATGTTCAATTTCTCCTCTATTTTCAGCACTCGATGCTTTTGTCCCAGCTTCGGCATGACGCAAGTACGAAGCAGCACAAGCACACATACACAACACGTGAAAAAAGACGCGAGAGCTGTACTGCACGGATCAACAAGATAACACCTATGCACGGCGCCAAAGGAACAAAGAAAGCAAACCAAGCGCACAGCATGTTTGCGTGCTTGTGCAAAGCGCCATCGCATGGATAACACCAGAAGCCTAGCCAGCCGAGTGCTTCTTGTTGCAGAAAAATCCAAGAGATGGCGCTCACCAACACAGCCACCATCATCATTAACACAAACAAGCGAGGCGTGTTTCGATCTCTGGGGCTTGCTGTTTTGTCGGGACGCCCAGTAGGGGACGACATGCCGCGGCGAGTGTGCAACGAAAATTGGAAAAACTACTTATTAACCGATACATACGCGATAAGCTGGTACGGCTTATGCGGATACAAAATGCATTATGTTCAATGGCCGCCGAGTCGGGGATTTGACCTCACTACTTTTAAAACGAAACTACTGTTTACGCGGGTACAGTTTAACGAGGTTTCACTGCAACACACCACGCTTCTTACCAAGTGAAAGCGTTGTAATAGAATTGTGTCCCCTGCACCACTTCTATTTAAACATTACAGTCGAGTCTAATTAAGTGGAACCTGAAAGAACCAAGAAAATGTGGTCTGTTCAACAGGAGCTACATTTACTGAGAGGTGAACATGAATGAAGAATTCAAGTAAGTAACCAATCATGCTAGAGGAAGTTGTATTTAAGGAACAGTCCCGTTTACTGAGTCTACTGTATCTTTTCGTTTCCCTACCCGTACACGTTTTTCTTTTACAGTAGAGTAAAAAACAAGTCAGCAAGGTTCTACTGCACTTCTCGTGGCAGTGCCAGCAGTCTGCATCACACGCACAAAACATCATTTTTTCTGCATGTCACAATTCTCTAGCCCACCACTGTCGATCATGAACTGCAGCAGCTTGTGTGTCAAGGTGGAGTGTTGTCACGCTTGTTTATCAGCATGACAGCAGACATAGACGTGACATAACACCAGTCATATTGAATGTTTGCAGTCACTGTAAATTGCATTAAGATAACTTCCAGAATTATGCCTAAGCACACTCAAGACTTTGGAGCCTTAAGTGCAGTATATTAATGCTCCCATCATGCCCCTGCATGCCAATGCCTTCTAAAACATTTGTTTACCAGCCGCAGATCCATCCAGACTGTTTTGAAAAAAGGCCTTGTTTTGAGTTAACAGAACGACACTCCTAACTCATTTCAACTATGTTTGAAAAAAAATAATATAACTCCAAAGTACAACAATGTCACTGTGGTTTTCTAGTTGAAAGCCCAGTCTCCAGAAATAATTTCCCTGCATTAGGCACTACATGCTAGCGATTGTGTTGAATTAGAAAGTTGGACCCTTGCTTGTTGTTAGACTTACCGGAAATACGAGCTCCTCCAAATGGTTGTTGTCCGACAACAGCTCCAGTCGACTTATCGTTGACGTAAAAGTTGCCACCTGTCATCTTGAGGTACTCGCACGCTGACTTCAGAAACTTTCTGCATGCAAAAATAAAGTACAAAGTAGCGCTCAGCACTCAAATGAACAAGCATTATAAAAACTTGAAAACTGTTCACGGGCACACACGAATATTGAACTGGCTCGCTTTCTATGCATTTTGTTCGAGCGTGATTGCACAGCACAAAAGACAAAAGCGGGATAACATATGAGCATCTGTCTGATATGCAACAGTGACAAAAAAATTATTGCGCAAATAACCGATGACTAAAGTCACAAAGCTGTATAGGTTACTACCACAGGCAATGACATTATGAAATTCAGAATGGTGTTCATGTTTTACATGCGAGGTTACTTTTCCGTTCGCAATGAGCATTGAGGGCTGACCAGCATACAACATAAAATAAAGCCGAGGTAGCAGAGGCTCACATATCTAAAGCTTGATAACAGATGAGCTACAGTTATAATTTTGACCAGCTGCATTTTGTATCCTTCATAACATGGCATGGATCATCTCTGTATGTACAATATAAATAATGCCTTCACCTTTCTTCTGCACAGGCGGATCAATTCCCCGCAGAAGCTACAAAATGTGCGAAGTGTGCACGAGAGAATAAGGACAAGCCATGCAAGTTTTACCCTTTGCGAGAAGCTACGGTACGATAGCTTAATATTTAAATATAAAAGATTTATCAACAGAGACTAAATGTTAATCTGCCTGTCGGAGTAAAACTACTAAGGCTGAACTGTAAACAAGGTGCAAAAAATATTGCAGCCTTTCGAGCAATATGAGCTGCACAAAAAACTTGCACTCTTGCCTGAGAAATGCCCTGTACAGAAGAAATATACACTCTAAAAACAATTCGCCCTCTTAATGGAGTATTCTTGTGCCACATTCTAAAGTGATCTGGCTTATTTGCACTTCTGCTTTCGAAAACTTTGTATGAGCCATTTTTTATTTAGCTGTGCCATGAAATGCTTGATTAATTATTTTGGAAAGTAGTGTACACTATGCATGAAGCCTGCTGTACTTACCTGCACAATAAAAGCACTGCTGAATGCTAGCAGCCAACTATAAAAATGATGTAATAATGCAATGAAATTAGGATTGACGATAGTGTACATTATTAAGTAATTACTCTCGTAACAACCAGCTCAGTCAGGTGCATTACTAGTGTCATTATGATGTTGTTTGTTATGCTGATATCAAACATTAAGTTTTAAGCTATATGTTTTAGTTCTTGAGTAACAACACTTGACCAACCCACACTTCAAAAAGAATAAATCATTCCAACATGAGTTCATGAAGATTTATGCATAAGCATATTGATTGATCGATTGATTGATATGTGGGTTTTAACGTCCCAAAACCACCATATGATTATGAGAAGCGCCGTAGTGGAGGGCTCTGGAAATTTTGACCACCTGGTGTTCTTTAACGTGCACCCAAATCTGAGCACACGGGCCTACAATATTTCCGCCTCCATCGTAAATGCAGCCGCCACAGCCGAGATTCGATCCCGCGACCTGCGAGTCAGCAGCCGAGTACCTTAGCCACTAGACCACCGCGGAGGGGCATGAATAAGCATATTCACAAAGGCCTATTCTGTGCTGCAAATCTATTGGTTTATTTTTCAAATTCTTAAATAAGCTAACAAAACAGTCCATACTAACAACTTTTACAAGAATCAAGTATATAATTAGAATGGTGATCCTGGAACGTTGATGAGTGCTGCATGGCACTCAACGTTCCAGTATCTGAGAAGAAGAGAAAGGAACAGTTTTATTTTTGCATTTAATTGACAAAGGAATGCAAAACAGCAACTGCGCCAAAAATCGAAAGCTAGATAAGTGCAGTTCGAAGTTAAACAAACAGAAAACAGAAGGCAGCTTCTTTTAATTTTTATTGAAAAAGTGCGGCACTGTGGTCAGCTTCAGCTCCCATCTCTCCTCTTTATTATAATGCCAAGATGGCAACACTTAGCCAAGGCAAGGCGGCGAGATTGGCCCTTTCTGAAGCCTGTTTTGTTTCATAGTTTTCGAAAATCACACCTTAGTAACGGGTTTTTTTTTCTCAACTTATACAGCATATTTGGTCTTAATACTTCACAACTATGTATAAATATCTTGAGGATTCTAAACAACAAATAAATAAAAATAAACTGAGAAATAAGACATTTTGATCAAGTTTACCATTTCCATTGTCATGTCCCCTTTAAGAAATATCCCCTGCAAATTTTCTTTCTTCCCATGTTTTCTATAAAACTCTGCAACAGCACTCTGGTATCCCAGTGACTGATTCTAGTATAGAAGTGGTGGCAAATGATTCTAGTATAGAAGTGGTGGTAAATGTCGGGAAAAGCCCCAAAAATGAGACCATCGTTACAACCGTCACCATAGAACATACGAACTATGTCACTCACTCGTCCCTCGCAAAGACTGATGCCGTGAGGCCGAAGGGGGCTGTGTCACGCGCCAGGGCAAGGCATTTGTCAACCTCGCTGTCTGGGTAGACGTATGCTGTGTACACCGGCCCAAAGATCTCCTCCTTCATGATCCTGTCGTGAGGGTCAGAAGTCTCCAAGATGGTTGGTTGCACAAAGAAGCCCTGGCTGCAAACAGCAGAAAAAAAAAAAAATACAGCACACATCACACACGTGGTGACAGCAAAAAATGCACAATCATAATTGCATACTCATCCTCTGTCTATATCAAGCAGCTGTAACACCCAATCACTGGAGTTCGTTGGCTTCACACATTTCATTCTTGAGTGCTACTTTGGCCTTTTACTGTTTCACATGTGTGTGCATGAGATGAATTGTTGTGTACAGTCATACTGGACGAACTTGTTACACACTCAGGATGGCAGCAAAGTGCCTAGCAACACTCATCTCAGTAACATGTTTTCAATTAAACATGCTCATGATGACATTTTACAACTTCCTAATGTATAATGAGAATGAACAAATGGGCCTAGTGAGCAGGACTTTAAGAAAAACTACAGAAGAGGCGCGTAACATGGAGGTGTTACAAACCTATCGTCGGAATCACCACCAGCAAGAACCTTCAGGTTGGAGCTGTTCTTGGCATGCTGCAAGTAACCAGTTATCTTGGAAAAGGCTGCCCTGTCGATGACTGCCGAGGTGAAGGTGTCGAACTCCAGAGGCGAGCCCAGTTTCAGGCTCTTCTGAGCTTCCACCAATTGCTCCTTGAGCTGCAGAGGCAAAGTTTAAAGACTTAAAAATAAATTGTGGATCTCTAGCAGCTTAAAATTTCACGCTTTCGTTTCAGAAAAAAAAAAAAAAGGCAGAGATCGGGCACACCCTGGGCACTAAAGACAGCAAGGTTTTCCTGTCTCCTAAACCTCATCTGCCTGACGACATCATCGCATTCTTTGACCATTTAGTCCCATGTCGCTTCATCTTCTGTTACCTTTGCTTTATCAACTTAAAATCAATTTCTTTTTGTTTAAATCCATTCCATCTACACGCCAACATTTTCAAATACCAGTTTTCCCCCACCCGAATAAATATTGGAATTTTTTACTTGCCGAAGTTTGTTCATTGACAATTTTCTCGATTTTTTTAACACAGTTACAGATGTATAGTTTCTTTACATGTTCTGGTCTTGTTGTTTCTACATAGCTGTTCTTAATGTTCCAACCTCTCCTCGTTACATATTTCTGTATATTTAACATGTACACCTTCGCCTGCTATAGCCCTGACTGGCTGTGCAGCATGTATAAGCAAGATAAAATAGTAAAATTCAACAGCAACTCTTAACAGAGTAATTGTCATGCAACAACACCTAAGCACTTCATGTTCACCTGTGTTGCCAACTTCTTGCAGGGCAAGTGCATCAGCATTCAATTTGGGCTAATGCCTTTGTGCATGAGTAGCATACAGTATGCCATTTAATCAATCTCTGCTTTTCCTTACCCTTTTACCCTTCTGGGTAGCAAACCAGTGTGACATGGTTGATTTCCCTGCCATTTCTTTTCATTTCTCTCTCTTCATTGGCGAGGCCACAGCGCTGGTAGTGGTATATTTTCGCTAGCAGCCTTTAAACAGCCCACAAGTAGACAAAACCGTGTATACATGTGTATGAGCCACCTCCCTACAATGGCCACACCCCAAATTATGAGCCAAAATTAGAAAAATAAAATAAAGGTTAAGCTGATTTTTTTCATTTCTGTCTCTTCATTGACGAGGGCACAGCGCTGGTAGTGGTATATTTTCACTAGCAGCCTTCAAACAGCCCACAAGTAGACAAAACCGTGTATACATGCGTATGAGCCACCTCTGTACAATGGCCACACCCCCAAATTATAAGCCAAAATTAGAAAAATAAAATAAAGGTTAAGCTGCCACATGTGCAAATTTGTGCACCAGGACAAACTAAGGTGCCCAAATTGCTAATAAATAGCACAAGTGGCTTTTTCTCCGCTAACCTTATTTCAATATTACTCAGGGATCACGAGAAAACGCGGCCGTAACCACATCATTGAACCATGTGAATGGCTCAAAAGACCTCTGGGAAGGTGCCCATGAGACGAACTCTTCAAGTAAGAGCAAAAGCGAAAATAATGACAAACACCCGTAAATAAAGTGTGCGAACACTTAGCACTGTTTCTATCATTGCAGAGTCTCGAAAAAATGCAATGCTACACAACTGTTAACACTTTTGCCATGAGGACACAGAAACAGTTTAACAACAACAAAGTGGAATGTTATATGAAGCTATCTAACAGGTAACTGCTTTATAGCATGGTACCTGGCACAACTCGACAAGACACTAGCATAAAGAAACATACCTGCTGCAACAAGCGAACTGACTTTTCCAATTTATATAGCTGCTTTATAGCATGGTACCTGGCACAACTCGACAAAACACTAGCATAAAGACACATACCTGCTGCAACGAGCGAACTGACTTTTCCAATTTATATAGCTTCAACGCAAGCACTATGATAAGTGCCCAACATGTACAAAGGTTTAGGGTATACCTTTGTACATGCACAATATGTCCAAACAAATACCCTATGAATATGCAGCACAGACGACCGTGGGTGACCGAGCCAAGCCCATCAAACTGTACAATGAAGACAGGCGGCTCATTCGGTATGTTGAAGCCACATTCACTGGCAGTGCTTACATGCTTTCACTTGCCTACAGGACATACTAAGCAATGGGCAATGTTAACGACTTCATATAGAACATGATGGCTACGGCAAACAATGCGCCGAGAGTGTCCGTACACATAACTGCTCTCATAATAAAAGCCTCGTTGAGGTACAACTTGCCTTGGGCCACAGGCTGCTGGGAACATACAACCTCTCCACAGCTGAACACTTCTGGCCACTGTACTCGAAACCAGATCGCGTCGTCTGTGCAACCACGGTGGAAAGGTCGGCGGAGGGATGCACAAAGTGGAAGTTCTTGCCACCACACTCTGCAAAAAAAAAAAAAAAAAACAATGTAGGCACAGGCTGTGAAGCATGCAAAACACTGACCGCTCATTACCTACACACAGGCAAGAACAAAGGTTGTTTACTTGACACCAATGAATTGTATGAATTTACGGCCTCAAATATTGGGATTACCATAATTACTCGAATCTGACGCGCACCTTTTTTCCGGTTAAGCGAGTTCATAAATCGCATGCGCGCTTGAATCGAGTACGAAAAAAAAAAAAATGAATACCGTCATTCTATTGCCATCAACATTTCCAAAATGGCCGCCCCCTTCGTGCACCGGTCATAGAGATGCGTCGGCAAGGCACGTCGGCCATTTCTGCCTATGTGTTTCCCATGTGCGGCACTTCGTACGTGTGCTGAGGAGTTCGTCATCTTGTAGTGCATTAGCATCGACGGCATGGAAGGGCCGACTCCAAAAACACGAGTGCACCGCGATGCCGCTTTTAAAAGAAAAGTCATTGCGTGTGCAGAAACGGATGGAAATCGGACCGCAGCACGGCCGTTCGGAGTTCCCGAAACGTGCATGCGAGACTGGAGGAAACAAAAGCAGAAGATTGTCGACAGAAAAGATTGACGCAAAGGCTTCAGTGAACCACAGCAGGGTCGGTTTCCGCAAATTAAAGAGCTGCTCGCCGAGTACGTGCATGAGCAGCGAGCGGCACAGTGGCCCGTGACGACAGAACTGCTCCAAGTGCGGGCTATGCAATTAGCCTTGGAAAATGGCTAATGCGGAGCCAGTTTAAAGGGAGCAAGTGCTGGCTAACTAACTTTATGAAGAGGAAAGGCTTTGCCCTCCGAAGGTGAACGGGCATCTGCGAAAAGTTTTGTGGAGAAGTGCGATGAAAAGCTGCACAGTTTTCAGAGGTTCATCCTAAACTTATGGCACAACAACGGCTACCTGCTTGGGCAAATAGGGAATGCCGATTAGACGCCTGTTTACTTCGACATGCCTGGCACCACAACCTTCGAGAAGAAGAGGGCGAAGCAAGTTCGCGTGCTGACATCGGTCCACGGTAAAACGACAGTGACAGCAATGCTCTGTTACACGTCAATGTGGGCACAGGCTTCCCCCGTACCTCATATTTAGATGGAAGACTCTCCCGAAAGGAGTCCTTTTTTCGAGTGGTGTGATCGTGCGGGCCAGCGAGAAAAATGGGTGCGCGTTGCAATTGATGTCTCACTTTTTTTTTTTTTCGTCGTGGAAATTGGGTGTGCGTTACAATCAAGGGCGCGGTAGAATCAAGTAAATACGGTATAAGAAAAAGGAGCGAATCATCAATGTTAGCATTTTCAAAGGAAAAGCCAACATGGTGCCTCATCCAATTGCCTAAGACAGCTCAAAGACATATGCCATCCGATTCTCTTTCTTTTTTGTTGACGCATTAATACTTTATACCTACACCCCTCCTTACCTGAGAGGTTTTTTTTTTTTTTTTTTTTTTTTTTTTTTTTTTTTTGCCGAATATGGTTTTTCACTTCCTCTAAGATCGGAGGCCTGGCAATCTTCCCGCATGTCATTTCCTGTGCTACCTCAACAATTGACCCATGTATGACCAAGCGACAACGATACGAGATGACGTCATCATGTGACGTCCTGTTATAAGATGTCACGATGACTTCATAGTTACATCATGATGACGTCACCAATTTCGGCAATCTGCGACATCATAGTGATGTCACAAGATGGTGGCATCAAATGACGACATTGTTCTGCATCACTCCTGTTGACGCCGGCAACACGAGACGCCGATGGTCAATTTTCCCATTTTATGAGGCATCTAAGGCTTTCACCTTAATACCCTGCGTATTTAATAATATGTCACACAAGTTTTTTTTTTTCTGTCTTTATCTCCTCCAAGTCAACCCTTGTGTTACGTTTCAAGTTTGGCATAGCTAACAAATCATTTTAAGAGGGGTCACTACTACTTGATTTTTTTTTTATGTTCTTGATCTATTTTGTTCAACTTGGTGAGTTTTTCCATATTACAGCACAGATTTAAAGTATGCAATCATTTGCCTTGTACAACATGCAGTTTTAAAATATAAAACATCTTGAGTGCCTCATTACGATTTGAATTTTTTTTTCTAATTTAAGAGTGCCAAAAAGTAAACCAGCATGTCAGAATAATCTGGAATGAGAAGTGTACGTAATAAAAGAAGAATAGACGTATCATGCCCATTTGAACAAAAAGTTTGGGTATGGTAAATATTTTTGAAAATGGAATCCCAGTTTGACATCAGCTCCCATTCAACAAACCATAACTTCTGTATGGCATTCAAAGAGATTTCCTGTAACACTTGAATGATAAAAAAACATTGTATGCCACTAAACTGTACAGAACCTTAATGACTGCAATCATCTGAAACAATAAAGAAACAGAAAGCACTGGCCTTTGCTAAATCACTGGTAAATGTAGACTAAATGAAAAAAGAATGGCAGGTGGTTTTCAAATAATTTCGGTAAATGGTCATACCTATTTAGTAGTAACATATAATGCACATTTATAGCATTAACTAAAATGCCGAGGACACGAGCTCACCTCCTACTAGCCTTGGAAAGTTTGTGTATATGTCCAAGTTCTGGGACACCTGCTTCCATATTGTCCGGAATGTCCTGCAAATGAGTGAGAAAAAAAGATTCACCTACAATCACAATACTGCCTAGTGCAAATTTTCAGTGCAGCTTCTTGTTGGGACAATGCTAGCTGTGTTTGAATTTTTCAGTTCTTCGTCATAGCAGCAGTGTAACATTACTACATATTGCAAAAAGAAACTGCCAGACCTCGAGTGCTACACACACTACTGTGCGCATTGCAGGCGTCGCGAACCAAGAGAGGCACCTGCAGCCGTGTTACGACAAACGAAGATAGTTGCAATGCCCGTACCAGCCCTCCATGCAGACAAGCTACGATTGAGGTGTCAAACACGTGAAGAAGGTGAGGAAATAGGCCAATGGCTCGTTATATCGACAGACTCCGCATTTACTCTCTTTGATTCTTGTTCGCAGTCTTTGATACTCGTTTGTTATGTCGGTTCCACTGACCTTGCCAACGCCGAAGTTACTCGATGTGGGAACGGATGCTTAAGAGCGGGTTCCCTACAAACATGCTTGCGACATTATCAATCAGATGAGAAAAATGTAGAAAGTGAACTGCGCTATTGTGACAAAGTTGTTTCATTTTGTAGCAGCATACAGTAACACCTCGTTATCTCAAACTCGCATATCTCGAGAAATCGGCTAAGTGAAAATTTTTCGTGGCACTGAACATTTTTTTTATACGTCTCATGTATATTTTTCCCATTTACCTCGAAGTATTTTTGGGTCAGATTGCAAGTAACTCGAGATCTTGACTGGAAGTGGAATGCGAATTTTACCGCTGGATCATTTCACAAAATTCCCGCGATGCTGCCCTCCTGAAGTCCATCAATATTGTTTTTCTATTAGCTGTGCCTGCCACTACGTTGACGCTTTCCGCAAACGTGAAGTCTCAGCCCAGCGACATATAAACTTTGTCAAGCAACCCTGTGGCACGTCATGTGACACATACCCTGAGCACAGAAACCCGTTGCCCATGCTTGGCGTAGTTCGTCTTTTTCGCTTTGTGCACTGCATATAATTTTCCCTGAAGTGTGATTTCCGTTTATCTGCGCAGACCGAGCTGTACATATTTTTCGCTGACTGTGAGGAGCAGCAACTTAGCATGAGCGCGGCAAGCCTGGCGTCAAAGCAGTGCAAGTCGCTAACACTAGAAAAAAATGTTAGCCTAATTAAGGAAGTAGAGAAAGGAGGCCAAAACGAAATAAAGCAAGGTGGAGTAATTCGCCATCTCTTTGACTGTGCTTTTGACGGTGCTGAAAAACAAACAAAAGGTGCTGGATGGAAGTCAACAGAAGATGTGAGGAACTTTGTCAAGAGGTCATCAAGCTTACAGGTAACGGTACCGCCATAAATGACGTGACTTTTCTGGGGTACGCACTGTGTGAGCAGGATAGGGCAGTGACCGAAGAAATAACGGACGCTGAAATCAATCAAACGCCCATGAACGTAGAGGACGGCGGAGACAACGGCAATGATGAACCACCTGGAGAGGTGCCGACATCTTCTGAGTCAAGAAATTCGCGGCACTTGCTTCGAACTAACGTCGATTGCAGTGGCGGGAAAGATTGACTAGGACGCCTTCCTAGGTCCGAGTACAATCGCAAAGCAGATGAGCATTAGGCAGTTCTTCTCGCTTAATAAAATGGCAGCTAAAGCCTCGTGTTTGTTAGTTTTTTTCCTTCAAAATCTGCACGAGAAGAAAGATTAGAAACTGCCGCTGAAGAGCCGGTAAGTAGTAGCAATTTTCCTGAAAAGCACTCATTTTGTCCAGTGATTAGCAAAACTTTGCTTATTTTGAAAGTCCGTTTATCTCATAATTTTCTCTGGTTTTTATGACTTCAAGTTAACAAGGTATTACTGTATGCCATTTCTATAATGTGCAGCAAAAACACGTTAATGCAAAAAAAACAGAGATAGAAAAAAAAGCAAGCATGCACACAGAGGCATTTATGCAATGAGAAAAATTTTCAGCTCTGATTTCAATGCTGAGGAGACAAAAACGAACAAATAGTAGCTTTGAAGACACACAGTACATTGCCGTAAACAACAAAAATCAAACACTTCAATGTGCTCAATAAGCAGTGAGGATGTTTAAGTAGTGGAACATTGTTGATAGGTTTTTCAGCAGACCAGGTAGGAAAAATGTAACATTGGAGAAAATGCAAGAGTGAGGAGAGCTAAAAAGATGACTGAGAGTACAGGCACTTTGGCTACAAGCAATTTATTTTGGCAAAGTGAGGCTATGGCTTAATATATTCTAACATGGTTGACTACCACTTCTTTCGCTCGCTGGTAAGCACCACGTGTTTCTCAATAATCTGGAAGGCCGCATTGCTTTAAGCGTCGCTTTGCTGCACGACGTACACCTGCGAAAGTAGTCTAGGGCCGCGACGGCTTCTCCAAAGTTGAGATCGGCCAACTCCGTGGCCAACTCTTCAGAATCATGTTTCTCTTGCTCGTTGTCGTCATCGATGTCCCCGTCTTCAGTGGCAATAGATTTTGCAACAATCTTTGCGATTGTATGGCACTCCGACATGACGACAGCAGCATCAACATTGTACCTTGTACCATTGTACCATCAACATTGTACCTTGTACCAACATTGTACCTATTGTAACATTGACGACAGCCGTCGTACATTGTACCTGTGGCACCCAGCGCATTCATTGCCTCATTGAGCTCTTGCTCACAAGGAGTTGCTTCCGATTGTTGAGGTTTGATGACAGGCTCCCCTTCCCTGTCCATACGGAACCGACACCTCGCGAAACAGTGTTGCACAGTTGACGTGCTCACTGTACACCCTGTTTATACGACTCAATGTACGGATATTGTCCCATCGAGACGAAGCTGTTGAGCGTTGACAGTGGCAGTCCAAGGTCTTTGGCGATGTCGATCTTTTTCTCGGTGGCTGCTTGTCGATTGCTTTAGGTACATCCAGCTTTTCTTCAAGAAAAGTGCTTTCCGCTTACGCGACGCCATTAAGGCTTGACAGTTCAACGTCTGTTACCTTTGACAAGTTCAGCGGTAACAAACTAAGCGAAACAACAGCGACTAAAGACAAGTCACAATGTGCGACGTGCGGCGGTGGGACTGTCAAGCACTTCCGAAATTGCGTAGTGAAACTTCCATTGTAAGCACTGTGATGATGATGGTAGCACTTTTTGTCAATAGCCATCTAACGGTGGCCTCATCATCTCGCCTGGGGCTTCTTGCTGCCTGTTCCACAGCCAAGCCAGGTCAAGACAGTCAAATGTCAAATCAAAATGGTGGTTCCCAGGCGGGTTCAGCGGACTAGGTTGCGAAGCATCATGCAGGCACATTCTCACAGTTGCAACGTAACAGCGGGGTTCGCAATACATGGTATTCTATGAGAGCTGTGGCGGGACCGATGAAAGACAACATAACAGTCAAATGTCAAATCAAAATGGTGGTTCCCAGGCGGGTTCAGCGGACTAGGTTGCGAAGCATCATGCAGGCACATTCTCACAGTTGCAACGTAACAGCGGGGTTCGCAATACATGGTATTCTATGAGAGCTGTGGCGGGACCGATGAAAGACAACATAACAGTCGAGAAAATGCAGCAGTGAGGAACGTAACAGCACAGTTCCACTGTGGCAGCAAGCACAGTTTCTCAATTAGCATAGTTTTGGCAGATGCCTTTTTGGCCTGACTGTATTACGTTATATTCCTGTCGGATTCTTTTCATTACAAAGCGTTTTATCGAAAGCTTTGTGTACCATGATAGATCAACCAGACTAATCTTTTCCCGTGTTTAATGATTCTTCGCAAGTCTTTCTTACTTCATTACCAAGCATTTTATGAAAAGCTTTGTGTATCGTGACAGATCAACCAAACTAATTCTTTCCAGCCTTTAATCATTCTTCGCAAGTCATTCTTAGTTCTTTAAATTAGCCATAGTCTTTTGTTTCTTCTCAGACTCTGAAGAATGTCGCAGCGTCGTCAAAATGCAGTTTTTGCCCCGTTTTCTTTGTCACCTCGATATTTCTCATGAAACAAACTGCCAGGCCTGCGCTGAACGCACAGCACTGTCATAGCACAGCGAAAACGCCAAGAGCAGCCCTTAAGAGCCCTTTTTTTTAACACTCTCTAGGTAGCTGCTGCAAGCATACTTGCAGGGTACCCACTACGCCATTGGTAATCATTGTGTAACAGGCAGGCATTCACTATGTCATCCTTCATCATTCTTTGGAGAAGCGTGGTATCTGTTAAACACTTGCAACGAATTTCATGCAAATTTTATGTTTCATGCAGTGGCTGCCGATGATGAAGAATCAGGCTTGAAGTGGGTATGCGCCACAGTTAAAAGGTGATGAAGAAGAAGCTTGTGTAATGGGTTGGAGCATTGGACAATCCACTGTTAGGCATTTTGCATTGTGTGACACCTGGTTGTTTCTTTGATGTTCTAAAATGCTTTATTATTCATAATAATGCGATTCCTTTCCCGACATCAAGCCTGCCTAAGGCAAGTTTGCGAAAAAGTACCAGGCAGTGGCGTGGCTCAGCGGTATATTACTGGGCTTGCACGCAGTGGACCTGGGTTCGAATCCCACTATGTCCTTCGTGTTTTTATTTTGAGTTTTTTTTTTTCTTATTTCGTGTGATAGCAGTTACGGACACCGGCGGCGGACAACTAGGGTGCCGCATGACCTGTGTTGTGATCTTATAACAGCTTTTGCTGTAAAATTAATGTTCCTTTGATTAATTGGTTGATTAATAGAAGTCGGTCGAGATTACATGAATACTCACGCCACCATACACTCTTAACCAGCTGCACATTTTCACATACATTCAATAATGCACAACAAAGCATGCGCCACGCGTCCAACACTGCGATTGAACATACATTCTTAACACCAAATTAGTGGCAACATTTACTAAGCCTTCAATACAGAAAAGTATGTCATAGTTCTCAGTCATGCATTCTATATTGGCTCGTTGTATTTTGATAACCGACTTCTACGTTGTTTTTCAATACATCCCGAGCATTTTGCACTGGCACTTGCCCATGTGCTTTTTCGAGAGATGAGACAAGTGTAATGCTTCCAGGCGCGTGCTTGCACACAAACAGTACTGCTGTGTGTGACTCTTCACGAATACTAATATAAGAACTTGGTGAATATCATTAAACATCCTTTTAACAAAAAAAAATTAACAGCAACTTTCTTACAGATTGAGGTTTTTTTTATCGACATGCAACCAGAGAAATTACTTGCACGAACTAAGAGGGTATGCCTCACATTCCATATAAGTATCTCAAAAAAAAAATAACTATTGCATAAAATTTAAAAGTAATTTAATTGGTTGAAATCAGTAAATTAAGTAAAATTTTAAAAATTACAGCATATCCGTAGAGTGAATGACTATTGGTGGGGCGAAGCGCTCGTCAGTCCGTCTGTGCTTACATCGCCCATTCGTTCTTGAATCCGTCCGTCTATGCGTCCGTCTGTGTGTCCGTCCACTGTGTGACCGTCGGTGCGTCCTTCCATGCATCTGTCCATTCTTCCGTCTGTCCATGCGTCCACCCCTCTGTCTGTCTATGCGTCCGTCAGTTTTTCTGGCTATCTGTATGTTCATCTGTCCGTCTGTATATCTAGTGAACACTCCAAGTACAGCGATCTCACATCTTTTCATCATGTATACATCATATACAAGTGCCGCCATCCAGCGAACATTCTAAGGACCGCTTTTTCGTGTATGTGCCACCGGTGGCTACATACACCATCGGAGGAAGGACAGACCCACACCCTAAGGAGCTTGGCCCTTAAAAAATTACTCAACAGTGTCCTTACAGCACAGTGCACCACGTGTACTGTGGTGTAATCTTTTTTGTACTTTTAACTGCTTTTCCTGGAAGTAGACTGCTCTAAAAAATTTCAGGCTTTATTAAACAAGATGATTGAAACTCCAGAGGCATGACGATAGTTATAGCGCGAGAACAAAACGACGACAAGGAGACAAGAAAAACACGAAGGACAAAAGCGTCTCTGTGTCATCATTCCGTTCTCACGCTATAACTATCGTCATGCCATACCAACTAGCCCAAGCTGCCACTCCCCAAAGGCATGTTATGATTGAAGCAGTGTGTTACAAAAGAAGGAAGAAACATGTTCGGCCTATACACCAGTTTCCAACTGCAGTTGATGACAAAGCACTTACGCGACGCTGCCCGTGAAGTTGACACAGGCAAGGTGTGGGGATGCCGACGTGACGTCTCCGAAGGCACGCCCCTCGGAGGGCAGGAAGTTTATGACTCCAGGTGGGAAGCCAGCCTCTTCAAAGATTTTGAAGATGAAGTAGTTTGAGAGGACAGCTGCGTCCGAGGGCTTCCATAGAACAACGTTGCCCTGGGGATTGCAAAAGCAAACATAAAAAGTTGATAAGATTGCTACATGCTGTTCTCCGAGGGGATAAAAACACAAAGAAGAAGTAGTAGTGGGAAAAGCATGCTTCCAGGGCCGATTTCATAAATGAAATGCCAACATATGATCCCAGAGCCTACATGCTGCATCGTGTAACAGCACCACAAACAGCCGAATCAGAAATGGTGGCCCAATGAAGGAGCCAAATGGGTTCAAAATGTAGGGCTGATAAATTTACTTATGTGAATGGAGTCCTAACATAGAACTAAGTCCTAGATAGAACTAGTGTTTCAGTGCCCCATTAAAAGATGTAGAGGTAAAAACTCCATTATAGTTGATTGGGCGAGTTGGTGATACACAACTTCGTGCAAAGGACGTTAAGCCTAGGCCCAAAATTCGTCCTCGTGAAGAAGCGAGATCCCCCTGACCTGTTAGCCATTGTTAGAAGTATATCTAGTCGTGTTCCCTAAGAAGACTCAGGTCGGCGCATCTCGGCAGCACTTGACATACTTCAAACAACGCGGTAAACCTGTCAGTAGTCACCTGCCTTTAAGCCGGACCATAAACTTTCTAATAAACAATGATTTGTGTGGGGTGTCTTCAGATAAAGAAGAAAGGGTTTTGCAGTGCTTAGAAAAAGCCAGTTTTTCGAAAAAGCGCAGTCCGCCGTTAGTTCTGTGTTTGATAATTTCACCGGCATCGATTTGCGAAAAGTGAAAGGAAGAGCAAAGGACTTATGCCGAGAAGTCAACTAGCTAGGTTTAGTGAAATACGCAGATAAGTGAGATAAACTTTCACTGAATTAATTTTTTTCAGCTAAGATACATAAGCCTGATGTACCTTTTAGAGTTTTAGTATCTGAGTGTACTTCCTGGCAAAAGAATGTAGGGGAGCAAAATAAGATTAAACTTTTTGCCAGTAATGACCCATTTTTATTTAAGAAGTCCGATAAAGTTATCGAAATTTTCCGACAAGAGTGTCAATTGGGTCTCATGGCAATTTCAATAGATGTAAAAGATTTTTACTATTGCTGCGTTGCTCACTTATATTGAAGAATGCATTGACCAGTTAGGTGAAGTGTCATTTCAGAACAGCGCAGGATTGAGTACGCGTGGTTTTCTAGACTTATTGGGCATGTACCTCAGCTCCACATATGTAGAGTGGAATGACGTGTATCTTCAGAAAAAGGGCGTGTTGATTGGGTCATGTCTGACCCCACTTTTGAGCGATTTGTTGTTGGCGAAGTTGGACAGGGCGGTTAATCGAAAATTATTGAGCACTGCAGTGAAGAAAGTGTTTAGAATGGTTGATGATTTTTTTAGTCACAGTGAAGTGTGATCCGCAAGGTTTTGTGTCTCAGGTCACCAATGTGTTGTCGCTCTTTGTGAAATGTCTTGATCCACTTGTATTAACCCGTGAAATGCCGGAAAACTCGTCCATAAGGTTTATAGACATTAGGCTTACATTTAGGGCGGAACACACCTGCTGGGCATATGAGCTACGCGCAGAAAAACCAATGCTGCCGTTCATGTCGGTTCACAACAAACTTGTCAAAAGAGGCATAGTGATTACTTGTTTCTCTAATGCAATTGAACGTTCTTGTGTTCATTCAATGGAAGCCAGCTTCCACAAACAGGTTGCTAGGCTAAAGTCAGCTGAGGCGGTCTTGGTTTGCGTGGCCGAAAGTGTCCGTAGAAAACGTAGAGCTAAAGATGGCCAAAGAAATGGTGCTGCAGGACGTGAGAACAGCAACCGCGAAAAAGAAAGAGAAAAAATAGCTGTTATTCTTTACATGCATCAAGTTACGTACCACCTGAAAAAAGTGGGGCATTGCATGGGAGTGCGTGTAGTTTCCTCTGTGCCACACAAGCTTTCTCAACTGGCTAGGCTGACATGTGCCCCTAGACACAAGAAACAGCTGTGCAAAACAAAGCACAGAAGCCATTTTGTCAATTGCATTAGCAACATTGTTTACATGATCATACTTTCGTGTGGTGCCTGTTACATTGGGCAAACTGGAAGATGCCTCAACGACAGATTGTGTGAGCACGCATGCAATGTTTGCAGCGAAAACGATGGTTTTCTGGCCCAGCATGTCACTAGATGTGGCTGTGAAGTACAGTTTAATAACACAGTCATACTTAACAAACACAAAGATGAGCGCACAAGGCTTAAATTGAGGCAGCACACATAGCTCATGAACACTTGACTTGCATCAGCAATCCATCAATAGCTGTGCCCGATAAGGAGCTAGCATTTTTAGACAGTAGCAGATGCCATAGGAGTTAAGTAATCACTCGAAGGCACAGTAGGCGTTGGTAGGGTCGGGCTGATGTACATAGGTCTTTTATCAGTTCTCTGTCAATTTGGTCCGTGATTTGGTCTTATCGTATGCGCCATGACACTGTTTCATCTGTCATTATATATTTCATAGTTTTCCGAATAAATTTTCAGTTGGTAGTAAGCGCTTGTCCCTGTCTTTCTGTCCGCATCTAAGCAGTGCACCCTCTTTTCAAAACAAAAACTTCATATTATTGCTTTTCTTGGTATCATTTCCCCTCATGTAGATACTAAAAAAAATAACATTGCTTTCACATCTAGGAGGAGCTGGGCTGCTGCTCTAGATGCTATGAAGCCAGGATGCTATAGATGACGTGTTAATATTTCGAGTCGGTCAGACAGACCAATCATAACAACCCCGTGAGCCAATCATATCAAACAAGATGGCGGAGTTGACAGCAAGACCGAAGTTGATGTGCAATGTACTAAGTACAGCATTCTTGACACATTCTATTATATTAGTAAAACGGCTTGAATCACACAACTGCTTAGACTAGACACAAGCAAATCATGCATAACTTTTCCGATGTGCCAACACCCATAGCTGAATGGGTGTTATTTACAGACCCTTTGCAAATTAAGCATAGGGTAGACGGTCAACCATTAATGACAAACCATAACAAGCAAAATCAACAGGAAGTTCCTACCATTAACGTTGGTGCTGATGCCAGGTTGCCTCCAATGGCTGAGAAGTTGAAAGGAGAAATAGCTGTTGTAAAACCCTGAAAACAAGCAGCACAAGCCAGACTATTTCACTAAGACCCTGCGGGCGCTACTGGCACCTGTACCAGCCAATGACCACCAATGTTTAAATTTCCAATCTCAGATGGTGCCTTAGGCCTCCATTCTTGCCACACCCCGGATTTTAGTGCAAACAACTTAAGTTCTTTCAGGACTTATTGATTTCAATGGCCTAAAGACCTTAGTGGGGACTGCACATGAGGATGAGAGAGGAGTTTTTTCAACATTAATGCCAGATTTCAATACAATAAAACCCAATGAGTACAAACAAAAACAAAGAAACCACAAATATAAAAATATTACTTAACAGAGTTTCAATAAAATGGCTCTCTAATACAGTACACTCACAATAATTCATGCCTTACAGTACACTCACAATAATTCATGCCTTGATATTTTGTACTCTTGCTTAATTCAACACAATTCAAGCTTTTGGCTTGCCTGCTATTCTTTCGATGAAATTAAAATCCACTTAATTCAAACTAACATACGAATTTTCTTGGCACAAAAGCAGCACACTGCTATTTCTACAATCAATGTCAACTAATTATTTGCCTTCGGTGTCTCTTTAAAGGGCCCCTAAAAAATGCAGAAGTCCAGATTTAGTTGTGGGCTTACAGTTCTCCACAAGCCTACAATGAACATATAGCCGTAAGAAATTTTCAAAACAGTGCTGCAATAGCATAGCTACACGCATTTAATGATACACAAAAAAGGCCCTAGCTTGTTCTGCCTTTTCCTTTGCTAAGTTCCATTTGTGAGCTTGTCTGTACTCCAAACCGAGTGCTCCTCCTCGCAGAGCGACGAGGAAGAGCAACAGGAGTGCGTTCCTGCTAGCGGACAACATGTACTATTTTGAATGACGAGCACTCCACATGTCGACAACACGGCTGGTGCTGCTAAGCTGAGGATTGCCGACAGGCTCGAAGAGGACAAGGGGCTATTTCTTAAAATTTGTCGGGTGTCTGCTGCTTGTAGCGCTGCTGCTTTTGGAATTGCCAACAGTGATGACATTCCTGAACACGATGCATGTGTTTATTTGAAATGTTAAAAAGTTATCAGAGGTGCTTTAGGGGGCCTCTAAATGGGGGCAAATGCCACAGCAGGGCACCCGACTCTTACCACATTCTTCCACTTGATGCAAACGTGCCTCTTTGGTGCCCAATATAGACATATATTATTCAACAGTTATTCCACATTTAGGTTGCTATGAGCACTTGAATCACTTGAATAGATGCTCAGGAAGAACGTTATACATTCTGTTCTCTGTCTGGTAAAGATTCGACACAGATGTTTGCAACAGAGTGGCCTGGACTTCAAAATTTGTTCCAAGTTGTCCAAGTTTGAACATTACATTCAGGCATCCTTTACACTTATTTGGTATCTTTAGCACTAAAATATGATGCATAGGTATGAGGAATGATGAGCTGTTCTTACCTACCAATATTCATTACTAGCTGTGGTCTTTCATAAATATATTCTGGCCCTGCAAGACTCTTCAATTCATGGTACACACCTAAAAATTTGCCAAACCTGCAGGTGAAGGTGAGATGCATAATGGTCTGAAAGCTAAAATGTCAACCTGAATCAATGCTCTGGTATGTTACTCAGATTTGCAGAAGTTGTTTAAAGGATCTCTGCCACACTTTTCAAAGTAATCATCGAGTTGCTTCATCAAAATAGTTAATTGTTTCATGAATCGACTAACACAAGAGTTTTTATCTGTCAAATACAAGTGGAGTTTCAGAAACTTATTACATGCTTTCACCATTTTCTCTTTCTATTTTTACCAGCGAACGTGCTAAAAGCTACATAGACAGGGCCGTGACAAGGGGGCTAAGTAGTTGTATCTATTCTTCAGTGTGCATCATGACCTTGAACACTTTATTCTTTCTCTTTCTTTTTTTCTACCATGAGGCTTGCTTTCAATGTGAGCGTGAGTGCACGCAGGTCCACTACGTTGTACCACACTGGCTGTGTTAACTACGCAGCTTGTAGTGCTCAAATCAGCCAATGGCCGTGTGCTTTTTGTTTCGGCACAGCCCTCCGGATTTATGGCATCATTTGTCGAGAGACAAGTGAGCAATTTTTAGTTGACTCTCATGATTTCAGGCAACGTGCTGCGCTCTAATGCTTGGCTCACGTGCTACCAGGAGCCTCAACTAATGATTGGCAGCATTTTCTTACCACGCTGAAAAAATGTTGCAGGACCCCTCTAAAGAGTGAGGAAAAGAGAAGGTGCTGCTTAACGATAGGATGAAATAGAGATTATGAAGTTGCGGATGAAAAACATGAATTGCCAGACTCTTCACAGTCTCTTGTCTTGTTCACTTTCCAGCAAAAGCTTGTTGAGAGCTGCGAGAATATGAAGCTGGTGAGGTGTACGAGACAAAGAAAAATGTGGCAGCGAAACATTATGCGCATCTCCTCACCTCAAGCCCCCGTTGCCGATAGTGGTTCACGGTGACTTTGGGGTCAGTAGAGATGGGCTGGTACTTAGTGAGCTCCTGCAGAGTGTCGGACAAAAAGCAATGAACCATGAAAAGGATAACACAAGTAGGACATGCAAGATTCAAGTTCACACATGGACAGTACAGCTTCAGGAGTTCAAAAACAGAAACAATAGAGTCTACACCTCATTACAAAAGTCTAAAAAACCTGCAAATCTTGGTTATTATGTTTTGAAGTAGCTGCACTGCCTATCTAGTGAAGTATGTTGGCACTGTAAGCACAACACCACTGCTGAAACTCGAGCAAAGCCCAATTTCAGAGCCCATGTTCCCTGTAGTAATTACGAAATGTTACTGAAATCAGAAAATCACTAAAAGCACACATGATTACAATAACTTACTTACACTTTTTCCACATGCCCCTCAGCTCACTCAAGCTTAGCAGAAGCAGATACCTTACAATACTGTAAAGTTAATTATTGATGGAAATGGAAAACTCACTTTGGCAAAGTAGGCATTGAACCTCAGGAAATCTGCGAGTTCTGCTGCAGAGTCAATCTCAGCCTGGAAAACAGTCTTTCCCTGAAAGGTCAAGAGCAACAGAAAGGAAAGATGACAATCTGGCATTGCAAACAGAACCCCAACTTTCAGAAAACTTGCCATCATTGATGCTTAAAGGGATCGCGAACACAAAAGTCACGCAGGGCCTTTCCAAAGCAGCACATATTAGTAATAACAATATCTAGGATTTTACGCCCTAAAACTATGATACAAATGTGAGGAATGCTGTAGTGGAGGGCTCCACGAATTTCGACCACCTCAGGTTCCTCAATGCACAATCAAATTTCAAGTACAGGGGCCTCATGTGTTTTTACCTCCACCAAAAATAGAGTCACCATGCCCAGGATTTGATTGCACGACCTTCGTGTCAGCAGCCAAGCACCACAACTGTTACACCACCATGGCAGTCCCTGGCAATATGCACAGATAGCATCAGGCACTGGTATTTCAGAGGCCTTCTAAGTTGTGCTAGAACGTTTACAAAACTTATTCAAAAGTCTCAAAGCTTGAATAGGCACAAGGAAAAACCAATCACTGCCACCAGCACATTAGAAAAATAGGGAAAAACTAATGATGTCGATAGGAGTGGCGTGAGCACGGTATTATCATACTATGACATTTTAGGCTAATTATAGAAACAGTAGATTAGACTCACAGTAGATTAGACTCACACCGGAAATTTACTGTTCAAGCTTCCTGAAGACAGATACAATGAACGTCCAATTGGGATGAACTCTTCATATTTTTAACATGCTTCATCCCATCACATCTTGTATTGCGGCAAAGCTGTCTTTCAGGCTCTGCTACGGTCACAAATGTATTGACCCAAGAAAATGCAGGCTATAACGCGGAGATGACAAATGCGGCAGACCTCGGGGCTCAATTAATACCTTTGTGAACCCGAAATTTAAGCAGGAAGTTCGAGAAATCAAACGCAGAAAATTTTTAGGAACCACAATTTCAGGTGTTCTTATATATTGACATTTACAAGGCAGATTTGAAACCTTTGAGTTGACGACAGCACACCCTTGTGTGCCATATAAGTTCTGCTTTCACAGAAGTTGAAGGATCAAGAGAGACTAAGAAAATAAAAGTTGTGCCCTTGACGTCCTAGTGTTGGAGACAACGCTTCGGTCGCACGAACTCGGGTATGTAAATAGAATTGGAACTCCACCTTGCCACATTCTTAACAATATGGCTATGAAACACTACTCCGCCAGCACTTCTTCAACCTAGCAAAAAGAAACAATTTCATGTTGCTATCTCATATGACTATGCTAAGGAATGCTCTCCAACTTTATAATTGCGAAGCATTTCTTGGCAAACTTCGGCGACAGACAGACAGACAGACATGCCCTGCCCTGCCTGCGCCTACCTGCCTGCCTCCCTAGCTGCTTACGACTTTTAGCTGTCCTGGCCGTTTGTATAATGGCATCAATACCAAACTTGGTGTGACATAACGTGACTGTATAATGAACATAACTGGCTAGTCATAACATGAAAATCTTTACATGTAGTCATGAATGTCATGAAATACATTTCGTGATCTTGCTGCTCTTGCAGTGATTTTATTCACATTACATGTTGCAAAACTGGTATAATATCACATGACTGCATGGCGAACACATGCAACAGACCCTAACATGAAAATCATGGTATGCGTGTCATGTTACAACATGATATATGCCACAGTCATGATGTGCTCGCAGCCGTTTCGCTTTGCGTATACCAAATTTGGTGTGACAGGACATGAAGGGATGACGAACGTATGTGACTGGTGCAAACATGATAATCATGAGATGCATGTCATGTAACAACATGACTACATGCCACGCTCATGATGCGCTCGCGGCCATTTCGCCAGCTTCACACGTACCAAATTCGGTATTACGGGACCTAAATGGATGACATAGGTAAATGACATGTCGAAACATGATGATTTTAACATGCATGTCATATAACAACATGAATGACTACGTGCCACACTGGTGATGTGTTCGTGGCCGATTTGCTGGCTTTACATATGCCAAATTTGGTATTACATCACATGAATTGATGATGAAGGTATGTGACTGGGGCAAACACGATAATGATGAGATGCGTGTCAAGTAAGAACATGACTACATGCCAAACTCAAGGCGCCTATACACTTCTGAGTGACCCGGTGGGCGTGCATGTCGGCGTTCCTTTCGTTGCACCACGCCGGCAATGCTACGCCAAACACCGATATCCCCCTTGTAGAGATCAGTGGATCTGCCCACTGACCTCCATTATGGATCTGCCTGCCATATACTCGCAGGCGTGCACTGCATTGCTTTGACGCATGCGCGTTTGAGCGCACACGGCGTCCCTCAGTCACGGAGAGAGGCAGACGCGATGTTATCTAAGTAACGTCGTCGGTGCGAAATGCAGCATGTCGCATATCACGCCGGTTGCTGCCACACTGCGCCGACGAACCCTGGTCGCGCCGGTCGCGTTTCGCTAACGTGGCGTCGCTGCGCCCAGCCTGCCCGCGCGTCTACGTTGCGTCGAAGTATATTGGGCCCTTCATGATGCACTCGCTGCCGTTTCGCTAGCTCCACATGTACCAAATTTGGTATCACGGGAAGTGAATAGACGACGAAGGTAAATGACACGTCCAAACCTGGTAATCATAATATGCGTTTCGTGTAAAACATGGCTACATGCTACGCTCATAGCGTTCTTGCAGCCGTTTCAATAGTTCCACATATACCAAATTTCGTTGTACGTGATGTGATGGATGACGATTGTAAATGAGACGTCCAAACATGATAACCGTGAAATAGATGTCATGTAAAACATGACTACATGCTATGCTCATAGCACGCTCGCGGTTGTTTCGCTAGATTTATATATACCAAAGTTGGTATCAGTTTACATAATAGATGACAAAGGTAACTGAAACATCCAAACATGATAATCAGGACATGGAAGTCATGTATGGCATAACTTACCTCCATATCGTAACGTTGTGCTGATTTTGAAGTGACCTATCAACCTTCCTCATTTGTGCTTCGCATATCATCGATTCCCACTGTACGGGGGGATTTGCCAATTTTTTTTCTTCTGAGATTTTGCTTTGAAGTATTGGAAAAATATTTGAGAAATATTCTAGACACTTCGCACTCACACTTAAATATTCGAGTTCGCTTCATACAAAAAATTTCGCTACTCGCACAGCTTTAGTTCTTTTCTAGTGCCGTGAAATCCTACAACGAGCTTCTACTGTGCTTTGTCAACTGCAACTCGCATACAAAAAAATTGGTCAAGTAGAAATTTTTTTCTGATTCGTACTAAATTGAGGTATGTGGTATTCCTGCAATACCTCTTAATTTTATTTCATGCACCTTTTAGTGGATATCCTTGAAGAAGAGTGGACTGTCTCAATTTTTTTTTTCCACACACTAGCACTTATTACTAAATGTGTAGCGTCCCTGCATTTCGTAACACAGCCACTGCTCATAGTGGCTGTGTTATGAAAAACAAATCAAAAACAAATGAACAAAACAAACGAATTCTTCATGTTCTGAAAATTTCACTCCAAAACAACTTTGCGTGTCACTTTTAATTCCCTGGGTATATAAGTTTAGTTGAATATTTTATCAACAGAAATCTTATTCGACATTATCCATTTACTCACGTCAATATAAACATCAGAAAGAACGCCCAGCAATTTGGAATTCTACTTAAGATAAGGCTGCAAAAGCTGGCAAATATGACTTTTGCGAATGCAAGTTCCTGAACATATTTAGCACTAGAATAACTTGTGGTACAAGTAACCACCATTTCAGCAATTAAACTGAGCCCAAAGCTCACGAAAGTTGCTCGTTGGCCAAATGGTCACACGGCTACACTCAAACAAAGCCACTAAAACATAGAAATGGGTCCCACGAGGCAGAAAGTGGAGGCATGACACCAAGGTAGCTTTGCAGCAAAAATATAATCCTTTTAAGTCCGTAAAGAGCATGCACAAATGTAGTGTAGCTACACCACTGTGCAAACTTTATCTATGCAAGTCACCACTGTTCTGCAAATTTTTTTTATTTTTCTCGGTGAAAGACAAAGAAGGAGTGCTAAGACATTTTTTCAGGGTCAAGCCGTTCAGTTATTAGTAAGCTACTTGTGTTTCCCACTTTCCACGTATTAGTGGTTCTTCGAGAGCGTAATGAGCTGAATGCGACAAAACTAATACGTCTGCACACACCTGTCCCAACATGGTGGCAGCGTTCAGCTTGTACCGGTACTTGTTGCCAACAAGGTCCGCTGCGCGGAGAAAGAGCTTGACCTTGTCGTTGAGTGGTTTGGCCTCCCACTCCTCGCGGGCCTTGAGGCTAACGCCGATTGCATCTTGGATCGTCTCCTGCAAATGGGTTCAATGCAGACAATAATATCTAAGGTTTTATGTCCCAAACCACGAGAAAAAGAAAATATGGTGATGAAGTAAGTTCAACACGCAAATAGCAACAACGAAATCGCCCGGCAACAGTACATCTTTGTGAGTGATATTTACACAAGCTTAAAGAATCAATAGACTATGCAAACTGAAGACACAATATCTCTGTGTGAACACACAAAGATGTTATTCTACATGCTCATATGCTTGCTTCATGAAACTGCAGGTTTGTAAAATTTGTAAGTCAATGATTGGCTCTAATAACTGGCTGTAAAAGGTATTGCATCAGGAAAATTTGTTGGTATGAATGCGTTATTTAATAAAGTCAAGTACGAAAAGCGATGCAAGTATCAATAGATCATAAAAAAATGATCAAAAATAGAGCAATGACTATGTCTGGGCACAAGCATATGACATGCATGTAAATGTAGCTGATGACTAAAGCTGTGCATCAGCCAAATAGGAGAACAGCAGGTTCATTGAAGATAGAGATAAGTCTGACAGTGGCTACAAACTGTCATTCGTAGTCATACGTAATACTAATTATTAAACATGACTTTGAAGGGGCTTTACCTTTGATGCCCAGTAGTACTTTGCCACCTTTTTTGAATGATCAAAAGGCTGAAAAGAAAAGAAAGTGGTATCAGGCTCTGCAGTTCAAAAACAAAATGATGCCATTCATCCCATCAGGATAAAATTAACAGAAGCCTACCACATTTTGAAAGGGGCAAGAAACACACATACAGGCTAGAACTGTTGAATACTTGAAAGGAGTGACACAACAAGATCGACAGGTCAGTTCAACATACCGCAGTGTGGTAACGTGCTTCTGAGGTCCTGATCTCCTTGCCACCAACTACGATGGGCACTTCGGTGCACGTGTCCTTGAGCTCGTTCAAAGCATCCTGCAATGCCTGTCGCTCTTTGCTTCCTGGCAGATAGGTCAGCATGGGTTCGTTGACCACGTTGAATTCATCGACATGTTGGGAAAACGTCAGACAGCGCACCCTGTATGGGTGCAAAAATTGGGATTTCCTTTCAAGTGAGCTGCAGCATTGGTGAATAAATCACCGCATGGAAGTTTCAGAACGAATCGGACAGTCTGAAAAACAATATGCTATAGCGAAGACTCAGCTGTGGGTTGCCACTTTCACAATAATCGGTCATTTCACCATTTGATTACTTTCTAAATATGCACAAACCAACCTGGCCGTGTGTGCTAAAGAGCAAATTCATGAGAAGATACGCAAAGCTAACTAATGAAACAACTTTTGGCATATACAAACAATTTTAAATAAGCTTCAACAAGATTGTTACAGTTTGTAGCAGGCATCACACCATTTCTAGGTAGCCTAAAACTCACTGCAAATTCAATTCATGCTTTCCTTACGTGCACATAAAGTATTTGACAAGGATTTCATCAAGGACAGCTATGCTCTTTCCCTCTGCCTTCTCCTCTTCACTGTAGTCCTCATGGAACAAAAAAATGTCAATTTATAAAGCTAAATATTGCCCACACTTTTGCTTCCACCATCATCAGCTATGTCAAACTGGCATAACATGGACAACAAGTATGGACCAGCGCCATCTTCATTGTAAGTGGCCTGATATGCAGTGACACAAAACTGGTTGTCTAAGTGCAATAGTTTAAAATGGTTGTCTAAGTGCAATAGTTTAAACTATTGCACTTAATTTCTGGAGCCCTTCATATTGACTACTCAGCTAGGCGTGACACTGATGACATTGAATTGTAGCATAAATGAAGGGAGATGGCAGACAAACTGCATTCTTATGAATATTTAGGTATTTTCATGAATTTGGACATTCAATTCCACAATTCTGCATTGCCAAACAAATTTTGTAATTGCAACACTGCCGATATTGATACAGCGCTGCATTCAGGCTACAGCGTTAGCTTATAGGAATGCAAAGTGCTACTGATTACAACCGGCAGCAAACGACGCTTTGATGAGGAAAACAAGAGTGCGACATTTCTGTGAAATTAAGCGGCATCAAAATAGTGATGCAGCTGTGGAAAGCACACTTAGTGAAATGGCACAAAATTGCTTGGAGACAAATTTGGTGCTGTTGGTCCAAAAACATCGAGGCAGGGGTGGAAGATACATGGGCTGTGTCCCCGGGGAGGAAGCTAAAATTATTTTGCGCTGTCACAACAGATCTGTAACCAAGCGAGTAAAAAAGATTACAGTTTTAGACTTCCACATAGAAGTGGGAAAGTACTAACCTCAATAACATTCAACAAGTTTTCAGCAAAATGGACGAGGTCCTCAGGTTACTCAGCAAAACGATTAGTACAAGCCTTCGCTGTCTCTCACTTCACCTTTGTGGCAGATCTACTCAAATGGGTGCAGGCCGAGCTGAACATGCTCAACACTATTATATGAAAGCTCGTCAAGGCTACCCTAGCTATACCCAGCAGCCCCTCGAAAGGAAAGCTCACGAGACTAGGCACATACAACAAAATAGAAAAGTTGGCCGAAATGCAACAGATGGCACAGAAGGAAAGACTGACAAAAACACGGGTGGCCAGCATTATTCTCAATGTAATAGAGACAGACCCCACCAGATTGAGAAACCCAAAGAAGGCTAAGGTAGAGCCGAGTGCACAACTTGAGACTCAACGTGATCAGAACCACCCCCTCCCAAGAATCATGCACACAGCTTTATTGCTACAGCTTATTGAAAGAAAGTATCGTTGGCACGAAACCTATATGGTCAGAGATCAGTAAAATTTATTGGTGCAAAAATATGCAATGGCGTACCAATTGAGGGAAAGCAGAGCAAGAACATTTCACACTGGTTAAAAAGTATCAACCGCAAAAGTCATTTGTAGAGACACTTGCGTCACGTACACAGCCTGTGGATACACTCATATCGATTCTATTGTTTTCTTTCTCTTCTCTCTCAATTTTCATATGCTAACCACATCTAGTCATACATGACATATTCTTTTGTTGTTCTACACCATATATTCTTGTCTGTTAAATATGTGTGTATATATGTATGTATGTGTATATATGTATATAAGTGTGTGTATATGTGTATGTGTAAATAGACGTGTATCTATATATAGATGTGTACGTGTATGCATTCTATCTGCTCTTTCTTCTTTTATTAATGAGTATTTCTGTAGTTATATATCTGTAAATGACCCCAATATTAGCCTTGGGCTAAGGGGTCATACAGTGTTTGCAAACAAAATGTACTTATTTCATGTGAATAAAACTTCAAACTGAGCAGCTAGGACAGCAGGCAGCCTCATAGAAGACGCCTGGGTCGAAGGCAAAGACCGTAGTGGTCGAAAGCCAGGGTGAGGTATGGGACGCTACACCGTCCGACAACAGTGGTGGAGCAATCTGCATTTGCTCTAGCTATCAAGGACCAAAAATGGTCTCGCATTAATAGCGATTCCAAAGTAGCAGGTACGAACTGGGACTTCTGCTAAAGTTATCAACAGCGTCGAAACTATCTCAAAATTGAAATCTGATGCTTTCCTGCACACATGGGACAGGTCGACGAGACTCAGGTCAACCAAAACGACATAACGAACAACCTGGCCCGACGACCTGCTTGCATTCAGCTCCAGTAAACGACCAAACCAACACCTATTACCCTCTCAGAGATCATATAGATAATTTAGAGGCTTACATCGAGGTCTCCGATTACCACTACTTGGAGTATCGTAAATTCCTACGGCTACACTTACAGTTGAACAAGGCACAGACAGTCACACTATGCTTATTGCATACCAAGATGTACTCCACACCACACTTCGTAAATGATATTCAATCCAAAAGTGAAATTAGGAAAGAATGTAACATGTAAAATATCATCACTGAAATCAGACACACGCTGGGAAGTTGCACTGTGGCTCTTGCTAACCCCGTAAAAATAATGGCTTCGCTGGCAAAAGCTCTTCGTATCAGGATTGAAATATTGAGCTTGTCATATCTAGATCAAGTATGGGCTGTCCATTGATTGATATGTGGGGTTTAACGTCCCAAAACCACTATATGATTATAAAAGACGCCGTAGTGGAGGACTCCGGAAATTTCGACTACCTGGGGTGCTTTAACCTGCACCCAAATCTGAGCACAATGGGCTGTCCCGAGAGCCCACAATGACACCTTAAGACTCAGCCTAACAGTGACTGAAAAGATCAGGCAGCAGTCCAAGTTTTGTAAATGAATGAATGAAATATTTTTGCTGATGGACTGAAAAAAGCCACATAGCATTGAATTTTTTTTTTCCTATATGTGAGACCTACCCAAAAATATATTACCATAAACAGTATACACGATGCAAAACTAAGGGTACACCAAGTGGCAGTTCTAGCGGAATGATACATTTCGTCCTTATAGGCATCGATTTACAGTTATTTTGCCATAACTCACTGCTCTGCAAGCAAGAAACACGATGCACTGCCGTTGTGATCATGCAGTATGTTGAGAAGAGTCTGCAGACGGATTCACATTGTAGTGCAGAGTTTGTGTGGCGGTTACTGTGGTCGGCTGCTGGCCCGATGGTCGCGGGTTCGATGTTTGCCGCATTTCGATGAAGGCGATATGCTAGAGGTCCGTGCGCTGTCAATGTACTTGAAATAACACCTCTAATGTTACATTACTATAGAGCTAGTGATTATTGGTCACCCATATACTGATGGTGCTTCGGCGTCTGGACTGATGGCAGTTTCAGTTTCGGATGCTCGCCACACGAGATATATAAGCCACTTGTTGGCTTTTACACGTGTTGCATCATACTTTTTTTTTTTTCGCAGTGCGATCACATACAACGATTTACGGCGCCTTCTAGTTAGCTTCGAACGCCGCAGCGCAATGTGCTCATATTCGATGTTAAAGTAGGAATTTGTTCGTCGGCACGCCACACATGTATATATCCAGTCGTGAAGGACGGCGAGCGATTTCGTTAGGAAAAAATTTGCGTGCGCCGTGTCTGGTCACATTCACTCTGACTACTATTACGTCTCGTACATTGAAGGGCGACGATCTAGATTAGCGATTCACGCGGACTTGTAGTACGATTAAAATAGCAGGACACCACGTCCCGAAGTAGCGTGCAAATGTATACAAGAGTGCGAGAAAAATGCGCCAACGAGACAGCTGTGCGAGAGGCACAGCGGTATGCACGATTAGATTACTGCCGGCATTGCGCAATCCAACGAGCACTCGACGACGCATTCTCCAGATATATTGCAGCCACACACGAGCTGCGATCACGCGGCTGAATGGCTCGGCGCCGGCCGGGTTCTCGCATAAAGCCACGCGGCGACCACACACTCAAGCCGACAGATACACAAACTCGATCAACCAGCGAAGCCTCCGCTGTTAACACGAAGTCCCACGTGGACACAGCTTTGAGAAACCCGCCTGAGAAACCGCAAGCACACGCATACAATATTCGGCCGAAACACACGTTGTTTTAACCCAGTGGAGCGTAACCAGCTCACCTTGATGCACAGGCCAGTTGCAACCGCTTGTGTGTTTTTGTAAGCCGGTGGATCCGACATCGCTGGAGAACGGTGGATGCCATCGTTAAATGAATGGGTGGGAGCGAGCCAGCGTTGCAGCCACCACGGAAGCACTCTGGATCACGCCTACAGCTGACTGCTGCAGCAACGGGACGAGCGACGGCACGAATTCGTCTGCTTTTAGAACAGGCCCCGTTTCCATTCACGGTTATCGTGCGCTCAAAAAAGTAGTGCCGCAAGTTGATAACTATTACGTCGTTATTGAAGCACGTGCGTCCAATGTACGCCAACATTGCTAAATATTTTATAGTTAGCGTTTGTTGTGGTGGCAACAGAATCAACTCCGCTACAAAAACTTGCGTGAATTTTTCCATGCCAAGGTCATTCTCAGCTATGTTCTTCCGCTTTTTTGACGAACTATATCCGCGCGGCGTTGGGGTGAGGAGCTTCATGAAGCGTTTAACGCTTTCGAGGATCAGCTGTAACATTATTCCTTACTTCAGTATTACGCCAAAGGCACCATAATCTTAATTGTAACATTGCTGTTTCGTCCATCTGCACATATAACTTGAAAAATCGTGTGCCGTGACCGCACAGCGCCTGTCGCTATGCGCACGCATTGGTGCCTTCTGGTGATTGAATGTCGCTTTTGGTGACACAAATCGTCTTCTGTCTTTGCGGCAAACTAGTAAACTTGCTCAAGATAGAAGTTCACGGTTAACGAGCACCGTTATTCTTTTTACTGAAAACTTAGCCGTTTTCTTGGATTGCCATGCTTGCGAAAAATTCTAATAAGCGCGCGGGAACATTTGAAACAGCTGATCTCGTTAATTATCTCCGGGCAGCTCACCGTTCATAAATTGACCCTGTTGCACAGACCATATGTAAACTATGAACCCTAATCACAAACATGACACAATTTCCTATGGCTTAAATACAGAAGTTTCATATGAATTCACGTGGGGAAGTCTGAATTCTTTTCTTTCATTTTTTCCAAAATGTCACGCATCTTATGCACAGCTACTGCACCAGCGGTTAGCCGGAAATCGCATTGCACATTTTCGGAAGGAATGCGCCGAAACTGCTGTAACTAAAAATATTTGTCGAAAGCAGACACGTCTTGCGAAGATACCTGCTGAAATCGTAATACGCGTATCGTACGTCATATAAACTGGATTATTAAAAAATAGGCTATAATGAAAATACAATATTTATACAGGTATTTTGCGCATGTAATGAACACCCGCAGTTTAGAGTAATTTAACTCAATTAAGGCCTACAACTACGCTTTTTCTAGCGAGCCATCTCCACACTTCTTGAAAATTTTCGATTCTTTATCCACAGAGAGATAAGAATTTTCGACAAAGATAGGAACATTACTTTAAAGGCACAAAAATGTGTCGAACACCCATAGTTGCTTAAAATCTGCTAATGAGAAGTTAACAAGATTTCATGAATATCACATTCATCTTTTTTATGGCACGCATTCCAATCGACAAATTGAAAGTTATGACTTTGCTAAGTACATTCGTTTGAACAACTAATCTTCAGGACCATGTTCCGAATTCGGGATATACACATTACCCAATTGTGCCACGACATACATGGGCATTCCCGTTATCTTTCAACTTCGGTGAACATAAATAACTCTACTGCTTTGTATAAAAATAACTGGAAGAACAGTTCACTCTTGCCGCATTTATCTGTGGATGCACATAAATTGATATCTACGACTGCGCAGCCTTGAAAATTCACCGGCGAATATAGATTGCAGTATGTACGGAACGTATAATAATTGAAAAACCAGTGAGGAGCACCACTTATGTTGTTGTTTTTTTAAATAATGCTGTTTGTAACTTTATGATGGTCCTCAACACCTGACAAGTAATTCTTCGGAAAATGCTTTCTATTTTTTTAAGAAAGTTTAAGAATTTGACGAAGTGTTATCCGCAACAAGTTGTATATACAACGACCATCGAAAAAAAAATAAAGGCACTGTGGTGCACACGCACTCCTGCTCTCTGTGCGCGGCAACGTGCACCTGCATGTATTTTCCATGGAAAGTTACTCGCGCGCAAAGCGGAGTAGCCCCCCTCCCCCCCCCTGAGGCCCCTCTCCCACAACACCCTTTCTTGTTTGAGGGCAACAACGCGATGCGCCATTCTCTTTCATTCTCTCCCCTCTTTCTTCTTTTCTGTGCCGCTTCCGTGAGAGCCCGCTACCGAGTGACAAAACCAGTAAAGTTGGAGATTCTTTTTGACATTCCTCTTTGATTGCTCACGGGGAGTCGCTCTCGGAAAGTGGCGCCCGGATTCGGCCCGGCCGTAATACATCGTGGCCCCACTCTTCAGCAAATGGTTCCTTATCGTTGATTGTTGTTTTTTTTTCTCCTCGTGAGACACCTAAAACCTGCTTCACAAACAAGGTAATAATGCACAGTGGGCGAAGTGGTTTGGAGGACGGGTGCTATTGACGTCCCCGAAGCCCCGTAAGTTGCAATGAAATTATGAGAAAATTAAAGTGATACGACGTCTCGTTCACAGGACGATTTTCTTGCAGAATTATTAAGTTGCATTTACTTCACTCAACACTGATTAACTACCCCCATTCGTGCCATTCTCCTGAAGGTAGCGTATCTCACCCGCTACCCTCGGGTCAGCAGCCGAGCGCGGCGAACGACTCTTTATATCCGCCCGGCCCTTATCCACTATATGCAGAACCGGTCAGCTGGAGCTCCTAATAATATTCTGGAACAAAATTGATACATAACAGTCAAGAATACAGCTTTGTATCATTAATACGCTTAAAATTAGCATTGCTGCATATGTTTGTGCTTGCGCGCATGTTTTGAACTTTTCGCAATGATCGAACGAACTCTAGGACGCTATGGCAGCTTCACAAAAAAACTCCATGGCGTGACATATAAGCAGCATATACTAATTCCAATGCATATAATATTTCAATGAAATCAACTAAGGCCGTGTATGTGTGTTTGTGTGCGTGTGTGTTTCTTCGATTATCCATGCATTTCGCAAAACAAACTGGTGCCAGTTGGAGTTGTATATCTTGATGTTATATGTTTCGATGGAGGCGGAAACGCTGTAGGCCAGTGTGCTCAGATTTGGGTGCACGCTAAAGAACCCCAGGTGGTCGAAATTTCTGGAGCCCTCCACAACGGCGTCTCTCATAGTGATGTGGTGGTTTTGGGACGTTAAACCCCACATATCATTATCATTGACATTTAAGCGCAAAGAAAGGACGCTGAACGAAGGCACCATGTCCTCCTCGTGACGTATTGTTGAAGGCTGTTTGGTTCGTATAGTTGCCACAGCGCCAGAGAGAAAAAAATGTCCAGAGTAATAAGTTGTTCGTGCTGTTCCTCGTCGTCTGGTTTCCCGTTCCCGCTCGCCCTCTTTTACTTCTGCAACGCCCTGCTTTGTTTCTGCTAAACCCAAAGATTCTGTCACATCGCAGTTTTTACTAAACATCTTTTTCTTTCTTTTTTTTCAGTTTTTTTAATTCATTGCCTCATTTGAACGTAAGTTAGCCAGTACTCTAACCACAATATCCTTCACCTCAAAATGCTTTGGCGTAGAAGCATTTTTTTTTTTTTCTTACTCACGTGTGCGCCTAATACACGGCAATGTCGTGGTTGCGGCTCGAAATTCGGGACAGGGAACTAAGGTGCATTTCTTATAACAGCGAAGCTGTCCAAGCTATCCGCAACTTCTGAAGCCTACAGATATATGTGCCGTGGGGAGTACACGATAATTATCATGACATAAACAGGTACGTGCCGCAAAAATTGAGTAAGTCCCTCTAATGTACTCACAACTATAGTCCTCTAATAATGAAGAAGGCAACAGTAAGTAAAAGAAATGGCAGCGAAGCAACGCCGGTGATCCGATGCTTAAATACCCTAGTTAGTACAACGAGATAATGTCATGCAACAAAAGCAACGGCTACGACGAGAAGGCCCCGAAGCGATGAAAGGCCTACGTTACCGATGACGACGTGTGGAGTATATCACTGTATGTGGTTTCACTGGAACCTCTCCGCGCTTATAATCGGCGTAGGGCACAACACAGCGTCACGTATAGCTAAAGCCTGGCAATGGCCTCTAGTAGAAGCAACGTGGAAACAACCTTCGTAACGTGGGGCCTTGGCACAGTTTAGAAGCAGCCAGATTAGTGTTCGTCCAGTTTTGCTGTTGCAAGCGCTGCGCGGCTTAATGCGAGATTTATCAGACTTTTTTTTTTTTTGTCGTCCGTCTTGCTAATCGTCTCTATACATATTTTTTCTTGAAAGAAATATAGAAAAAAACAATAACGTAATGCATGTCACGCACTAGTGGATGAATAATCGCCCCGTAAAAGCTGTACTCCCGTTTGTTTAGACATTTTTATCCGTATTTCTATTGTAATCTGGGCGCCGAAAGAATGAAGTCTCAAACAGAAAGAAAAAATAGCCTGCAGTTTCTAACATTTCTCACTTTTAATCCGTACTGCCATATATGTATTTACCTATACCTGACTTCTGTGACCGCAATTATACGGCCGACTTTTTTTTTTTCCTCACATAAACAACATAACCATAGTAAGGCCATAAACACTTCAAATTTTATAGCTAAATTTGTTATGTACCAAATTGTGATTCCTCTCTTCGCGTATGTATATAGTAACCGACTCAGGCAACAATGATACATCGAAAGCGAGGCACTTTTGCGTCAAGTGCACTCATCAGCGCGTTTGCATAAAGACGAGTGTGCGTGCACGATATCATCCCAACCGTTATCACTCTGTTGTCAATCCTCATATTCTTTACGAACTCCGCTCGCTTCTCCCATCGTTCGCGCGGCCCACCGTCGGCAACACACAATAATGTGGGCGCGTACGATACCGGCACCGTCTCTATGGCGTACCGCGTGGTACTACGATACTTCAGGGGGGCGTTTTCTTATCTCTGAGCAAACAGGGGTCCGGTGTGACTGTCTGCCGGCCCCTATATCCACTGTCTTCCGTTCTTACGGTATGTACACGAGTGCTGTATTTGTATGTACAGCATATCGCACTGATAGCGCTCTGAGAAGGCGTCTATTGTGGACAGACCACTTCAAAGTGTTGTTGCTGTTCTTGCTGTATAGTTCCTCAGATTTCGGCTCAGCGTTTCCCGCCGGTCATACGTATGGCGACACCAGAGGCGGGAATAACAACGCGAATTCAGTGTTCGTTTTATTGCAGACGCAAACGCACGAGCCGCGCGCGTCTGCACATACACGGGGGCAATCGCCTGTCCGCTCGCATGCACACTGTCCATGAACGTGTTGTATATACGTGCGCCCAATCGCGACGTGAATTTTTTTTATCGATTTCGTGTGGTGCTGCGAGGTAGGTTTGGCTCAAACTTTTGTGTTTCGCAGTTGTAGCTTAATTAAAAACCTAAATGAAAAGAAAGCATGGTTAATATTCCGTTGAGTTTTTCAAAATGTATAATGTAGGTGACACCGTACTATGCGGCATTCCCAAAATCATGAAGCCATTGCGCAACCAATAACAAATGAAATAGACAAAAAATAGTTAACGAAAAGCCTCATGCACTTATGTTTAAGATCTCAAGTGTTCGAATAATATATCAGTTCGTGGTCACAGTTCAAAACATATATGGCGTTCCTCGTGGATGAAGCACACATATGTTTTGTGGATTATGACGAGGTTTCATGCTTTTTCAAGCAAATCGGAGCTTTCATGCATTTCAGGGTTGGATGACCGCGAGACAGATAGCGCGGTTACACACGAATCTGCGGGCCTTTTCTCTCCTTAGGGAGAGAGCGCAGCGCGAGCATACAAGCCACCGGGTTGCAGAAATTAGGTGCTTTTTCCCATCTTCTAACCACTACCACCACCACCACCTTGGAAACTTGGCAGCTGCTGCGAACGAAGTTTCCTTCATGCTCTTTACGACTTTATCGCAAGTTTTCCAATAAGAGCACAACGCGTACACAGGTATGAGGCGTCTGCTAATTCCTATAAAGATACAGCGCGCACCACCACCGGTCACCAAGCCTGCATTGCCAAAGTATGCAGTTGCTGCCGATACCACCAGACCCTCCCCCCTGCCACTCAAGAGGGAGAGGGCGCAAATGTTAACCCTATACATTGACTTAATAGGGACGGGGGCATTGCAAATATAGGGAAGTGGGGGGAATGCAAAATCAGCCCTAATATATTGACATAATAGGGAGGGAGGGGGTGCTGCGACAAACCTTCGCCCCTCTCCTCGAAGGGGAACCCTGCACACGCATATGGGTCTCTTGTGCGTCTTTTTCTTTTTTGTTATTTCTAGAATGTTCGCTGTCACAGAAGGCGTTGCAGGCTGTCAAGAAGGATACCACCATTTTAATGTAATGACTGTGCAATAACGAAAAGCTGTCAGCGACACCCATATTCCGCACTATATGTGCGTGCACCCACATATCAACTTCATCACATACCTTTGAAGAGCTGTTAGACGACTATAGTGCTGTATGAGACTCCAACTACACAGTTTCATACTGTTAGTGAAGCTGACACCAAAGACAATAATATCTCGTAAGCTTAAAAAAGATTGATACAATTCGTGACTATGGCACGTTGTTTTGCCGTCAATACTCTACTCTAGATGAATTATGCCCGATTACATGGTCAATACACTCCTTATCCATAGGTCATGATTTCGCAGTAATTCTAAGGTATAGTAACCATCCACCCTTCGAGTGTCACATAGATAAATAACGTGTCCTGATTGATGGTTATTGATTATGTAATAATTTCTTGCGTACTTCTCCCGCTTTATAAAGATCAGCGTGCGTGGATTCACGACATTTATTCGTGCAACAAAGAAATGACCATGATATGCTTCATAAGGGCTCAATATACATATAATCTGAATATGTTATGTTGGGGGCAAAGTACATATTCGTCACGTGCATCACGTGCATACACTCACAGAAGATGAAGAAGTTTATGCAGCCACTTCATAGCTTACCTAAAATAACATTTACCCGTCTCTACGTTGCATTCTTGGCCAATCCCCCAAAGTGGGTACGTGCCATGTATTTATGATAGCAAAGCAAAGCAAAGCACTCAACCCCCTGAGTAGGTAGGAACCATATTTAAGGCGTCATCATCATCGTCATCATCACCGAGCGTCGCGTGCGCTCGCTCTGGCCTCGTTTGAAGGCGACATTCATTTGCGGAGTATAGGTCCGCACGATTCCATAGCCGCGACCCTCGCAGTCACTACAATGACATTGGCACGGAAGTCTCCCTCACAGTCTCCTGCGCGGTTTTTCGCAGAGAAGAAAAACGATGGGGATCCCTCCTCAACGACCCACACGCTAGGAATTAACTCGGTCTATGTCGGCGTCGACGTGAACCACGAAGAGGCGCAGCAGGGTACCCACGTCATCGGCAATGGCGACTTCCAGAGGCTCATCTTCGGTTTCACCATCATGGCGCATATGGTGCTACTATGTCACAGAAACGTCCTGACCTTGACCCAATGGAAGAATGTCGGCATCCCCGCCGACGAAGCGGGCCGTGTCAGCCAGTACCGAGCGTACGTACGAACAGGCGGTGCCCCTTACGACACGGAGACGGCCTCCGTGTAACTGCTGGGACTACGACCCAGTCGAGGCACACATGAGCGCCCACAGCTTTCGGGACCTCGTGTGCCAACGCGGCTGGCTTCTACCCCTGGGCAACGGTGTCTTCATGAGCGGTGCGCTCATTGTGGTCCCTTTCATGGGCTACCTGGCTGACCCCGAGAGTCGCAAGCCAGGCATCGTCATGTCTTCGATCGTGTTGATGATGAGCGCCATCGCGAGTTGCTTTGCCGAGGCCTACCTCGTATACCTAACGCTGATATTCATGAACTCCGCATGCGCCAGCACCACCCACTTAGTCACTGTGATCCTCCTGTTCGAGGTGTCGCCCGTTCAGTACCACGCTTTTTACATGGGTCTCGGCAGCTCCATAGGCGTCGTATTGGTTGAGTTGCTGTTCGTCGTCGTCACTGCTGTCCACATCGGCTGGTTCCCACTACAACTGCTCGCTGTGGTGCCGACCCTTCTGCTTATCTCGACCACATTCATCGCGTACAAGTCACCCATATGGCTCCTCACCATGTCCAGAATAAAGGAGGTATGAGAGGTCATCTATACATTACAGCCAAAATTAATGGTGTGGCATCAAGCAAGACCTCAACCGATCAAGTTCGGTGTGAACAATGTGGTCGTGCGCGCCGGTGGCGCCCACCACGCTGCTCTACTTCCCAGCTCGCTGCGCGGCAGGGCCACCGCCGTGTTTGTCACCAGGTTCAACGTGGCTATGGCCTACTATTCCCTCACCCGGGGCCATATACTGGGCGGAAGCAGCAACTTGGTGTTGCGTGTTGTTTACGTGGCTGCCCTTGTGCCCATCTATGTGGCTATGTACGTAGCACTCAACACCATGGGTCATTTCCAGCTCATGCTCCTGCTGTTCGCCCTTCTGGGTGGATTTTCGGAACTGTACGGCATCGCCACGTACGCCGAGCCGGGCGAGGTTGCGTATGCACTCGCAATAGCGGGGAAGTTGGTGGCAAGCGCAGCCCTCCCCACCAACTATATACTTGTACATGGCCTAGCTCTTCCCATCGTCGGTACGCAGCGCCGTCGTGTGTGGCGGGCACAGGTGCGGCCGCGTTGGAGCAGTGTTGGCCGCCGCACTCGCCTACCTACAGGACGTCGGTCGCGAGGACTTGGACTTCGCCCTCCTATCAATGGTGGTCTTTGGAGGGCTGTTGGCATTACTCAGCTTGCCTGAGACGGCTGTCGGCGCCGCTGCTGACATGGCCATCGCCAACATGGACGGCAATCACAGGGACCTTCTGGAAATAATGCAGAACACCTCGATTCCGATGCGAAAGAAGACGAAATTGAGAAACAGGCCTGCGAGTATCCCACCGACAGCGGACCCGGCAGCGAGGTCGCCCATGCCGTCTTCCGTGGGCTCAAGATGTAGCCATTAGCTGGAACAACAAGAAGGCGACAACCCGACAACCAGCGCGTTCATAACTTCAAATGGGCTCGAGCACACGAAGGAGGTGAAGGAAAGAGGGGGGGGGGGGCGGATAAAAGAAAGTGTAAATTTATTTCCTCGTCAGGAAAGGTTGCTCAATATTTAAGTTGTATCTTACATTGTTCATACAAAGAGCGCTCCTTGAGGTTCTTATTCATTGCGCCTGGCGTGCATATAAGTAAGTTTTGCTTAAAAAAACGCAGGCCTGCGCGGAAGGTGCAGCACAGTCGCAGCGAAAATTAGAAAAGCAGCTTTTCAGAGCCCTTTCTAAACATTCGTTGGGTAACTGCTGCAAGAGCACTTGCTTGATGCCCACTACGGCTTTAATAATAAAAATTTTTAGGTAGTAGGCTGGCATTCGCTATGTTATTTTTCGTCGTTTTTCTGAAAAGCGTGGTATCCGCTAAACTATTGCGAGGAAT